ATATTTTTAAAATTGATATCTTATCAGAATTTTGTAAAATCAATATCTTATCAGAATTTTGTACTTTGTTTCTTATTATTTTCAATTTGTATGCACAAGTTGTTTCAGGTCATGATAGATTTATAAGAATAAAGGTTTTTAAAACTGACCTTTTGTTTGTAAATGAATAAAAGGAATAAAAGGGCATTGTAATTAAGCCCCATCATGTCTCTGATTGTTTAGTGATCATGGCAGTTGTCATAATAAACAATCAATAAAATAATTTTATAAATCTACATTGAACAATGATATGGTAATCAGGTAATAAAAATGTTTTTGTACTTTTAAATGAAAAGATGTAATAAAAAGATCGAGAAGTTTCTATCATATTTGCAAACAAAAGAATTATGCCCCTTTATAAATGGAAAAAATTCTAAATCTGTCGTTTCTCTTCTCTAACTTTAGTTTGCCTCAACCAAATGTTATGAATTTTATACACAGTGCTTATTACCTCAAAACACAGATCAAGTTCGAAATTGGGTAGCGTCACTTTTTACCGTTCTTGAGTTATGCCCCTTTATAAATGGGATAATTAGTACATTGACTCATGCATATTTACAAGCGGGGCATCTGGACACATTCTCCATTTATTTTTTAATTTTCTGTTTTTTTTGTCGAGCCTGCGACTTTTGTCGCGGAAAGCTCAACATAGGGATGGTGATCCGGCGGCGGCGTTAGCTAACTTCTTAAAAGCTTTATATTTTAGAAGGTGGAAGACCTGGATGCTTCATACTTTGTGTATAGATGCCTTATGTTACGAAGTGTCCGTCTGTCACATGTCCTTGACCTCATTTTCATGGTTCAGTGACTACTTGAAAAAAAGTTGTGATTTTTTGTAATGTTAATTTCTCTCTTATTATGAGAAATAGGATAACTATATTTGGTATGTGCGTACCTATCAAAGTCCTCGTGCCCGTCAGACAGTTTTCACTTGACCTCGACCTCATTTCATGGATCAGTGAACAAGGTTAAGTTTTGGTGGTCAAGTCCATATCTCAGATACTATAAGCAATAGGTCTAGTACATTCGGTGTATAGAAGGATTGTAAGGTGTACATGTCCAACTGGCAGGTGTCATCTGACCTTGACCTCATTTTCATGGTTCAGTGGTTATAGTTAAGTTTTTGTGTTTTGGTCCGTTTTTCTTATACTTTATGCAATAGGTCTACTATATTTGGTTTATGGAATGATTGTAAGGTGACTGGTATACATGTCCAACTGGCAGGTGTCATCTGACTTTGACCTCATTTTCATGGTTCAGTCTGTGGTCAAAGTTAAGTTTTTTAAGTTTTGGTCTTTTTTCTTATACTATATGCAATAAGTCAACTATATTTGGTGTATGGAAATATTCTATGATGTACATGTCAGTCTCGCAGGTTTTATTTGACCTTGACTTCATTTTCAGGGTTCATTGCTCAGTGTTAAGTTTATGTGTTTCTGTCTGTTTTTCTTAAACCATAAGCAATAGGTCAACTATATTTGTTGTATGGTAGGATTGTAAGCTGTTCATGTCTGCCTGGCAACGTTCATCTGACCTTGACCTCATTTTCTTGATTCATTGGTCAATGTTTAGTTTTCTTGGTTAAGTCTGTTTCTTAGAAACTATAAGCAATAGGTCAACTATATTTAGTGTATTGAATGATTGTAAGGTGTACATGTATTTCTCGTTTGATTTATATGACCTTGACTTCATTTTCTTTGATCATGTTAAGTTTATGTAATAGTTGTAGTAAAGCTTTCATTTAGGACTATCAATGGTTAGTAAAGAAGGCGAGACATTTCAGCATGTGCACTCTTGTGTTCCAGAGTTACTGAACTTGAACCATTTCAATTAAGACAATTTTTCACAACCTGCACTAACTCCAGTTTATCTAAATTGATTTCCTGAAAACTTTATGTTATTGTTGGGTTTGATAAATTTTTATTATATTTATGCCCCGGCATATATAGCTGAGGGGGTATTAAGTTTTACCCTTGTCCGTATGTCTCGAAATTGGTTTCCGTTCTTAAACTTTAGTTTGCCTCGACCAAATGTTTTGAAACTTATACACAATGCTTATTACCACAAAACACAGATCAAGTTTGAATTCAGGTCGCGTCACATTTTACTTTCAAGAGTTATGCCCCTTGACAAATGGAAAAATTGCTGAATTTTTCGTTTCCGTTCTCTAACTTAATTAATAAAGTTTGCTTCAACCAAATGTTATGAAACTTATACACAATGCTCATTACCACAAAACACAGATCAAGTGTGAATTTGGGTGGCATCACTTTTACTGTTCTAGAGTTATGCGCTTTACAAATGGAAAAATTGCTGAATTTTTATACGCCCGGACGGGACTTATTATGGTATACAAATGTCTGGTGTCCGTCCGTCTGTCTGTCCGGCATAAACATGTCGCACCGTAACTTGAGAATGACTTCTCCAAATTTCATGAAACTTAACATAGTTGTTTCTTATGATGGTCAAACGATCTGTATACTTTTTGGTGAAAATAAGATTAAAACTTTTTGAGTTACGGGACTTAGTAACTAAAACAGGTGTGTGTTATTTTTCACATGTCGCGCCATATCTCAAAAACAGTTTATGATTATTGCTTAAAATTTTACACACTTCTTAGTTATATTAATCTTAAGATCTGTATACTTTTTGGTGATGATTCAAAATTTCATTTTAGAGATATTGAGTATTTTGTTAAAAAAGGGGGAGGGGTTTTTCACATGTTGTGCCGTATCTCAAAAACAGTTTTTGATTATTGCTTAAAACTTTACACACTTCTTAGTTATATTAATCTAAAGATCTGTATACTTTTTGGATTTGATTCAAAATTTTATTTTTGAGATATTGATTTTTTTTTTTTAAAAGGGGGGTTTTCACATGTCGCGCCGTATCTCAAAAACGATTTATGATTACTGCTTAAAATTTTACACACTTCTTAGTTATATTAATCTAAAGATCTGTATACTTTTTGGTTTTGATTCTAAATTTTATTTTAGAGATATTGAGTTTTTTGTAAAAAAAAAAAGGGGGTTTTCGCATGTCACGCCATATGTCAGAAACTATTTATGCTTATTGCATAAAAATTCACACACAAGATGACGGGCGTATCATGCGCTCATGGCGCAGCTGTTTATTCGTTTCTGTTCTCTAACTTAAGTTTGCCTCAACCAAATGTTATGAATCTTATACACAATGCTTATTACTACAAAACACAGAACAAGTTTGAATTTGGGTGGCGTCATTTTTACCTTTCTAGAGTTATGCCCCTTTACAAATGGAAAAAAATGCTGAATTTTTCGTTTCCGTTCTCTGACTTAAGTTTGCCTCCACCAAATGTTATAAAACTTATACACAATGCTTATTACCACAAAACACAGATCAAGTATAAATTTGGGTAGCTTCACTTTTATCGTTCTTGAGTTATGTCCCTTTTTAACGTTATATGCAAGCAGGGGCATCATCTGTGTCCACATTTATCTGATATGTTGTTCCAGAGTTATGAGACTTTAAATGTCTGAATTAAGTAAATTTTTCACATGTTGTGCCATAACTTGAGTTTGCTTGGATTGATTTACTGGCAACTGTACATTATTGTTGGAATTGGTGAATATAACAAACTCATCCATATAAAAAAAAATCTAATTTGTCTTTCCAGAGTTATGGGACCATAAAATAAATTGAAGGCATTTTTATGCCCCCGCCGTAGCGGAGGGGGCATTAAGTTTTACCCTTGTCCGTCTGTACGTATTTAACAGTCATATTTGAAACAATATTTATAGATCCAAGGGTATCCTCATACATGTTTTTCTACATAGTCATTGTATTTGCTTTAGCTCTGATTAAATGCTTTCTAAATATCTCATTTTATTTTTGCTACAATTTCCATATGCACAAAAATGGGCTTATCATACACGCAGAGTGACTCTTGGTGCAGTTGCTTATTTCAGGATATTAGCAGAAACTCAGGTTCTACATTTGTATTTGAATAAGCCTAAATTGAGTGTGCTGTGACAATTTTTCAAATGAATAGAGTAAGATTCATACTCTGACTCCAGGGGGTTATCTTCTAAGTAACCTTTGAGGAATGTATCTACCCATCATATTGATCCCTTTCCCACTGCAGTTTTTTGCTCGCTGCTGTGGTGGCAATAGTTTGGTTTCGCATTTTGGCCCCTGTGAATTTTTCAAATATGAAAGTTATTGTGCAATAAAATTGATTTTTTAGATAGCTGAAAAATGATAAAGCCTTCAAAGTGGGTTTATATGAACATCAAGATTGTTTTTTTCATGTTTTATAGGCCATTTTCTGTTGGATAGTCCGTATTTTCACATCCCTACTGGTCATAGGTCCAGATATCATTGTAGTGTTTTCCAACAAATATGTTGGGCTCAAATTTTTCGATTCAACTTTATGGAAATATGAGGTGAAATGCATATGATTTTTATTTGACCTCTTGAAAGAAAAATGTCAATGGTTTCTGAAAAGGTTTCACTCAAATGGATTGAAATTTTACTTTCGACCAAATATTGGGGACTTATGTGACCATTTTCACCCCCTTTTTTGCAATATTTTGTATCAAATAAATGCAGATTGTTGCCATGGTTACACCTAAAAGAGATTATTTTTCACAATTTTTTCGATACATATACCTGGAACAAACAGTAAGGCTTATTTATTAAAAAGCAAGAGAAAGAAGGTGGTTAAAAATTATGAGTGTCAATTTTATGTTTTTTTCCTAACTGTATTGCTACCTTTATAAAGACAGGTCAAAAACAGTATTCATTTTAGGGTGCAAATATAAAGAATGTCAAAACTAGAATTCTTTGTTAATAATTGCATAGATCATATTACATAATAATGTATCTAATTACCTATGTTTAGACATCAATATGGTCTTTCTCATTCCCTGTCCCTTTTTAGTGTAGCAAGTTGTTTTCAAATACTGTATCTTTGTTTACAGGCAGTTCAAGCAGCAGAAAACCTAGGATATCCTCTGTTGATTAGAGCAGCATTTGCCTTGGGTGGTCTGGGTTCCGGTTTTGCTGACAACAAGGAACAGTTGGTGTCTCTAGTGACCTCAGCCTTTGCTCACACCAGTCAAGTTTTGATAGACAAATCCTTAAAAGGATGGAAGGAAGTAGAGTATGAAGTCATCAGAGATGCCTTTGACAATTGTATCACGGTGAGTATAATTATTGGATACATTGGTTCTATTGTATGTCTGAGGTCATATCAGTGATGAAGGATGGATAGGAGAACCCATGTATTCTGTTTAAATAGAAGTTACAAATAGTCATTTGTCTGATGTCTTTTTATATTTATTATGCCCAAGACGCATGGGAGGGGGCATTTATTGTTATCCTTGTCCGTCTGTACGTACGTCCCAAAATTGGTTTCCATTCTTAGTTTAGTTTAACTTTAGTTTACTTCAACCAAATTAATGTAGTGAAACTTATACACAATGCTTATTACCACAAAACACAGATCAAGTTCTAATTTGGGTTGTGTCACATTTATCGTTCTTGAGTTATGCCCCTTTATAGGGTTATATGCAAGCAGGGGCATCATCTGTGTCACATGGAAACATTCTCCATTTATTTTTACAGAAACATAACATTTTAACCTTTTATTTCAATATATTTTGAACAGCTATTTAGAAAAGTTTATCTTCACTATGTTGCTATTATTGACTTGATGAAAGGATAGCTACTTAATTGTTCTTATTGTCCCGGTGCAATGTGTTGTGGGGGACATAGAAATACCAGCCGTTCCTCAGGTCTTGATAACACTCGCGCATGTACAATTCTTGCCAGATTTTTATAAATCTTATATCATATGTTTATATCAGCATTTTCTCGTACAAGTTTGAAAATCAGTACAGATTAACAATTTTTAAAAGAGTTATGCCCCTTGGAAATATTAATTATATGGAAAAGAGAGGCGAAAGATACCAAAAGGGACATTCAAACTCATAAGTTGAAAATAGACTGACAATGCCATGGCAAAAAAAGAAACCGACCAAAAGACAAACAACAGTACACAAAACACAGCATAACACTATTTTAAAGGATAAAAGTTTACTCCTCATATAAAAATAAATATTGACATGATTTTTGTTCTCATCTATCCCAAAAAATCATTGATAATCTATTTGTTTATAACATAATTTTTAAAAAGAATATGGTTTTGTAAATTACCAATCCATCATAAAACAAAAAAATCATTTAAATTTTTGTATTTAAAAAAAAACAAACTCTGCTTTAAGTGAAATTTTGGGCAATGGGACATTTAGTACCACTGTTCTATAGCTAGTGATTGAGTTTTTAATGTTCAAATATCCCATGTGAGTAATAAAAGGAGGCATATTAAATTGGTAAATATACACTGGAGTTTAAACAATAAAACTGAGAATTATATATATTCAAAACCATCACTAACTCGCATGTCATGTAGACAGGTGGATATAACTTTCTATACTGTGGATTCATTTATTTTCGTGGATAATGTATTTCATGGATTGAAGAAAAATTGTATTTTCATGGATATTGAATTTAGTGGTTTTGTTAAAATCTGCATACAAGCCTATGAAAAATATGTACTTCATTGAACATCAAATTTCGTGGTTTACCTATACCCAAAAAATCCTCAAAAATTGGTATTCCACGAATAATAATCTGCAGTTTTTATACGCCCGTTTACGGGACATATTATGGTATACCATTGTCCGTCTGTCCTTCCGTCGTCAACATGTCGGACATTAACTCAAAAACACTTTAACTAATTTGCATAAAACTTTGGTGAATTGTTTATATCTATTGACGTGAGCTCCCTTTCGTTTTTTATAAATTTTAGATTTTGCTTTTCCGAGTTATGGGGTTTTATTCATTAAAAAAGGGGGATTTTCCAGTTTTCTGACAATAACTCAAGAATGCTTTCACCAACTTGCAAGAAATTTTGGTTAATTGTTTATATCTATTGACATGAGCTCCCTTTTGATTTTTATAAATTTTAGATTTTATGTTTCCAAGTTACTGGGTTTTATTCATAAAAAAAGGGGGGATTTTCCAGTTTTCGGACAACAACTCAAAAATGCTTTCAGCAGTTCTCATGAAACTTTGATGAATTGTTGATATCTATTGATGTAAGCTCCCTTTAGAATTTTGTAAACTTTAGATTTTACATTTCTGTGTAATGGGGTTTTATTAACCCTTTCACCGATAGCTGCCCAGACAGAAGCTACTCTGAGACGATGGCTTCCCTGGCTACTATTACTCAAGTAGGAGATCTTCATAATTAATATCAATAAAAACTTGTCTGTAGTTATTTATGTCTTTATTTCATTCACTTACACCATGTTCACAGTTTTGTTCATGTTTTAATAATTTTTTCTTCATAAAATATTCAAATTTTCAATTTTTCGGCATTATCTAGGTGAAATTCTCAAAATTCTGCTCTATGACCCAAAATCGTAATTTTTTTACCCAAAACGACATTTTATGTCAAAAAAGGATACTAGTTTGGCTTCAATTCTTCCATATTCTTTCAAAAAAAATGTTCCCTCATTTCAAATTCTCGTAAATTCCGTAAATTTCCTCTGATTTTGACACGGTTTTCAACAAACGGAAGCGCCATGTTTACACTTTCATCCGGGTATTCAACAGAGAAAGATAACTCGTGTTTGCACTGTTTTGAGCGGGAAATATAAAAGAGGTATTCCGATCCCGGTAAAACGGGACTCATCGTCAGCTGTCTGAAGTGTGAATCCCGGTAAACCGGGACTCATCGGCGAAAGGGTTAATTAAAAAAGGGGGGATTTTCCAGTTTTCAAACAATAACTCAAAAATGCTTTCAGCAATTCTTATGAAACTTTGGTGAATTGATTATATCTATTGATGTAAGCTCCCTTTAGAATTTTATAAATTTTATTTGTTTATAGTCTGACAACAGATTTACTAAGTATTGCGCAACAGCATAGTGTATTTCACAACAGCAAGAAATCTTTAATTGAATATAAATTCAATTCATATAACCAATTTCAAGTTCTTTGACTACATTTATTCAGAAACCTATAATATGTCAAATATTTAAATTCAGACCTGTATCAAGCTTGAATATTGTGTCCATTTTTGCCCCAACTGTTCAGGGTTGGACCTCTGCGGGCGTATCCAGCTGCGCTCAGCGAAGCAGTTTATTGTTAATATTTTTATCTTAAAAGATGAGAATTTTGAGAAAATACCTTATTTTTTTATGCAGGTATGTAACATGGAGAATGTTGATCCATTAGGAATTCATACTGGGGAATCAATAGTCGTAGCACCCAGTCAGACACTTACCAACACAGAATATAACATGTTGAGGACTACTGCCATTAAAGTCATCCGTCATCTCGGCATCGTCGGAGAGTGTAATATTCAGTATGCTCTCAATCCTGAATCTCATGAGGTAATTAACCTTTCTGTACTCACTTAATGGACCCTAAGGTATGTATGTCATGACATAGTTTAATATGTGAAAAGGTTGAAGAGGACCTGTTAAGATAGATCAAGTGTTGAAATCTTGATTTATTAAGGATGTCTGGTAAATTGACATCTTTTGCTGTGTAGCAAGAAAATAGGTTCCCTATTCATCAATTTGTTTTCTTTTTATTTTCTAAAAGCACATCAAAGGGCTATCTTCTCATATTTTATTAAAAAATTCTTTCTTTCAGTTTTTATTCTTTTCACACAAAATTGATTTTTCCAATTATATGTTAGTTCAATTCTGTAAGAAATGATATAAGAAATGGACTGCTTATGTTTCTGTAACATTTTGTTTTTACCTGTAGGTGTGTTGTAATCAGATTTGCTATAATTTCAGTACTACATAATAGAGGTGAATGCCCGATTGTCTCGAAGCTCAGCTTTGGCCAGCAAGGCAACAGGATATCCTTTGGCTTATATAGCAGCTAAACTATCTCTTGGTATACCACTTCCAGAACTTAGGAACTCTGTAACTAACTCTGAGAAGACACCAACCACAGCTTGTTTTGAACCTAGTTTAGATTACTGTGTTGTCAAAATTCCTCGTTGGGATCTGAAGAAGTTCTCAAGGGTTTCTACCAAGGTGAGTAGTATTGTGAACCAAATAGAAACAATTAAAAATATGACAAATTTCCATGAAAATTGGTAAAGAGTTAGATTCTGTCTTCCATTTAACACATATATATGTACATATATTTCCATTGTTTAAATAGTTTTCTTTATAAAAACACACAAGTCGGATTGAATTGAATGTCTTTAAAACAAAGATTTTACAGTAATAGTTCAATATTTAGACTATTTAAGGTAGCACTACAGTCAGAATTTTCTGACTCCAACCAACATTCTTTAAAGATTAATTTCTCCAAAACTACTCAATGGATTTTCAAAATCTTTAACTCATTTTAAAGCTGAAATATTACTCTTTCTTAATCTATAGATAAATTATTTTTGGTATGATAAATCTCAAAATATAGCTCATTAATTGCCAAAAAAGTGGTCTTCCAACTTGGATGGAAATGGCACATTCAGGTCAAATGGTAGTAAAAATTTGTTTTCATCCCTTTAATCAACCATATACAATCTACAAAACCATGTCTCAGATTTTTGGTATATGCCTCCAGTAAGAAGATATATCGATTTAACTGCGTAGTGCCAAACCTCATTTCACCTTTCATCTTTGGAGACCTATAAATTCATTTAAAAACAAATTATCCAAAAACTGGGACACGGTATTGTAGAAAATACTCCCTTTAATCACATGTATTAAAGTCAAGCCAAAGGGGGTACCCATAAAGTTTATATTTTCATTTTTTCCTAACAAATCTCATGAAAAATTGTTCTGAGAAATGACCTAAAAACGGAATTCCCCCTTAGAACCCCTATAAATGCAACATAAATACAAAAATGCCACAGGGAACACCCCAGGAGTGTTCTGACACCATTGCTTTATAATAGAACCACACACTTTGTGTCTTTGATGCTCTAATGCTGTAAATTTTACATTATGTGTGGCACTGTGCAACACTTAACTTGGCATTTGGCGGGAGTTTGACGTCACAGATTTGACCAACATCTGTGATGTAGTAATTAAATATAGACAAAGCTCCGCCTCTGTCCAGACAGTCTAAGATAAGAGAATAACAGGATTGACCAGCTGCATATAATCAATATTTAACATCATTATTCTCACTATAAAGAATAATTTTCATTTGTATTTTAAAAAGAAATATACTATTACTGAAATTAGCTAGAACATTAAAATTGTGCATCAAAAGACATGTTCATAAAAAGATCCAAGACCATCCCCTTCTTTAAAAAAAGACAACCCCACATGATTTTTGAGTTTTATGGAATTGAAAAATTTCACATAAACTTAAAATTGGTTAAAATGCCTAAAACTGTATTTAAATGTAGAAGACAAAATAGAAGAAATTTATACAGGCAGTCAGAGGCTTTCAAAGATACTTTCACTCTTTTCCATATTTTTTTTCATTTTTGGTAGATTTCTTCCCTTTAGATTTTTGCCTTTTCATATTGTTTATCTTTTTCTCTGTTTATAAACATGTTATATAAATTACTTTTGTTGCAATACAATGAGATAAGACCACAATATTTATCTTGTGGTCAGGGATTAAAAGCTGGACACTGGTATCAACAGATGATTGACATATTAGCCCCTCCCAAATGCCTATATATTTAGATTGATTACCATGTGCTTTTATTTACATAAGTTCATTATCAATTTACTCCCTGTTGTGATATGATAATGACTTTGGGATTTTTACAAACTGTGCAGAATAATACTTAATTTGAAATTATGTGATAAAAAAAATATCTTCAAAAAATCATTGTTAGACTGTAGTGCTACCTTAATTTAAAGTTTCTGATTTTTTGAAAGAAAGACTATTTGTACATCTGTTTAATTATAGAGTATATAGATGTCTCTTTGATACAACAGAACAGGATAAGTTACTTCCCTTACTCAACATACAAAAAAACTACTCTTTTTTAGCTCACCTGGCCCAAAGGGCCAAGTGAGCTTTTCTCATCACTTGGCATCCGTCGTCCGTCGTCGTCGTTAACTTTTTACATTTTGAACTTCTTCTAGAGAACCACTGAATGGAATGAAACCAAACATGGCATGAATGTTCCTTATGAGTTGCTGACCAAGTGTTGTTACTTTGTAGCCAATCCATCATCCAAGATGGCCACCAGCGGGGGACTTAATTTAACATAGGACCCTATGGGAAATACATAAAAATGTCTTTTTTTTAGAGAACCAGTGAATGGAATGAAACCAAACATGGCATGAATGTTCCTTATGAGGTGCTGACCAAGTGTTGTTACTTTGCAGTCGGTCCATCATCCAAGACGGCCGCCAGCGGGGGACTTAGTTTAACATAGGACCCTATGGGAAATACATACAAATGTCTTCTTTTAGAGAACCAGTGAATTGAATGAAACCAAACATGGCATAAATGTTCCTTATGAGGTGCTGACCAAATGTTGTTACTTTGCAGTCGGTCCATCATCCAAGATGACCGCCAGCGGGGGACTTAGTTTAACATAGGACCCTATGGGAAATACATACAAATGTCTTCTTTTAGAGAACCACTGAATGGAATGGAACCAAACATGGCATGAATGTTCCTTATGGGGTGTTGATCAAGTGTTGTTACTTTGTAGTCAATCCATCATCCAAGTTGGCCGCCAGCAGGGGACTTAGTTTCACATAGGACCCTATGGGAAATACATACAAATGTCTTCTTTTAGAGAACCACTGAATGGAATGAAACAAAACATGGCATGAATGTTCCTTATGAGGTGCTGACCAAGTGTTGTTACTTTGCAGTCAGTCCATCATCCAAGATGGCTGCCAGGGGGGGACTTAGTTTAACATAGGACCCTATGGGAAATACATACAAATGTCTTCTTTTAGAGTTAACCACTGAATGGAATGAAACCAAACTTGGCATGAATGTTCCTTATGAGATGCTGACCAAGTGTTGCTACTTTGTTGCCGATTTACTGTTCAAGATGGCCACCAGGATATTTTATTAAATAACAGGACCAATATTAAACCAAATTTGGCCTCAATCATTATTTGTTATGATTTTTATCTATCTTTACATGATTTCTAAAACCAAAGTAGAGTCAGGTGAGCGACACAGGCTCTTGAGAGCCTCTAGTTCTAGTTTTAGATTCCCATAAAAATTTTCTTGTGCAAAGAAACAAATATTATTGTCAATAAGTCCAATCAGCTAATCAATAAAATATACTAATCAATTATTCATATACAAGAAACAATACTATTAACTAAATATAGAAATATGCACATTTGATTTACTGTAAAACCAATAAAAAAGAGTCTACCACAATATGAAATATATTATATGGTTAAAATAATAGTAAAAATAAACTGTTTTCACTGATTGTAATAGGCAAGTTTGTAATGTATGTTACTACAGGTTGCAAAGACCATGACAAGAATCAAAAGTAATCAAAATTTGTGTTGAGTGATGTGTCAAATGGTTTTTTGACCATGCAAGATGGATATTTTATTGTTTGAGTGTATAGAATAGATCTGTGTTATACTTTTCACAATTAAGTCTTAAAATAATTTAGCAGTTATTTTCAGATCTAAAATATTTAGGTATTTTAGATTAATATTGAAAGTAGAACTCTTGCATGGCTCAAGTCCATTTAAAGACAGGAAACTTACTGATTTCTCCATAACAACTGTTTTGTCTTTGTGTCTTCAATTGGCATTTCTGGATTTGCATGCACTTTTTGCAAAAACATTAAAATCAAGAGTGTCTATTTGTTTTAATAAATGAAATAACAAGCTTTAGGTGTTGAGAATTAACTTTATACAATTCACAGAAATTTGAAGTATTGATGGAAGGATACTTAGTATTTAGACACCTAGGCTGTAAAGTTGTAATAGCTATTATTTAGGTAATTGGCCAGGGATGCTTTCAAGATGCTTCATTTATAACATTACCATGATTACTGTAAATCAGACCAAATGACAAGTGTAAAATTTCAATTCTTTATAATGAATGGAACATTTTAAATAGAAAATAATGACCAATATTTCCAAAAGTTTTAGGTACTTGATAAACTAAACCATATACATTTTTAATATGATCAATTTGGTTCATACTTAATCCGTATACATCAGTCAACTTTTAAGATACTGCTCCAAAGTTTGGACTGAAATCATGGTCTTTCTTTAAGCGATCATTGAATTTCTGCTATGCTACAGATGTCTTAAAACTATTTATATCCATCCATGATTAAATAGAAAAAGAAGCAGTTAGAAATGTAGGCTGTTCAGATCTGCTTTTTCAGAATATAAAGCATTATGGGTAATATATCATTGTAAGAAAACCAAACAGAAATTATGTTTTGCTATTGTTAGCATCTTTATAGCCAATCACAGCTTTAAGTAGAATTGAGAATGGAAATGGGGAATGTGTAAAAGAGACAACAACCCAATCAAAGAGCAGAAAACAGTCCAAGACCATCAATTGGTCTTCAACTCAGCGAGAAAATCCAGCACTCGAAGGCAGACTCAGCTGGGCCCTTAAATAATAATGTATACTAGTTAGTGAAATGGACACAACAATTAACTCCGAAACATATAAATGAATCAAAATTCAAAAACACACAAGACTAACTAAGGCCAGAAGTTCCTGACTTGTGAGATCTCAACCCTCCGCCTATACCTCTAGCCAATGTAGAATAAACAAAGACACAACAGCAATATACACAGTAAAAATGAGTTTAAAAGAAGTTCAAGTCTGATATTAGAATAGGTAACAGAAGAAACTATAAAGCAAAATGACAATGATTAACAGAAATTAACAAAGGACTACTAGCAGTTACTGAAATGCCAGCTCCAGACCTCAATTATACGAGGAGAACATAAAGTGTATGCATGTGAATGAAAATATTACCCAGAATGCACAAGACTTTGAAACACTGAATTTTCAAATGATGTATAGAGACAATTAAAATTGCAGTTTATTATTAAACCAAGCCTAATCAAACTTGTAAATTTGAATTAAGAATGAGATGTACAGGAACTATTTGATAAATTTTAGATTTCAAAGTGGAAAAGTCCATAGAATTATTAATTTTCATGAACATTTAGAGTGAATCTGTACTAAGTTTATGACTGAGCCCCTGTTATAATTAACTCATTTCAGATTGGTAGTTCTATGAAGAGTGTAGGAGAAGTAATGGCCATTGGTAGGAAGTTTGAGGAAGCATTTCAGAAGGCTTTACGTATGATGGACGAGAAGGTCGTAGGATTTGACCCCTACAAGAAAAAAGTATCAGAGGCTGTAAGTCATGTTGATGAAAGAATGTTTTACTAGTAACAAGCTGAAGTGGGGTCCGTGTATTCATGGAATAATTTTCTTATTCTACAGTATCAGTCAAATGTTGAGGAAAACGGTACCATATATATGTATGTGCTTTTTTGCACAAGTAATAAATACCCAAATCTTTAAATGAAAAAAAGATACATGCACAACTATCCATTTCATCTTAGGATTTTAAAGGTATTTGACAGAAAATCCTATGATTAATTCCTGGGGTTTTAAGGTATCCATGCTAATTATTGTTGGCAAGATTGACAATCAAAAAATGTTCTTGATTTAGAGTATGGCCATTTTCAGTCTGTTTCCAATGCACACATGGCATACTTGCTCATGCAAAGGGCGAGTGACAAAGTAACTTGTGGCGATACAGGATAGCAAGTTTACACCATATTTAGAATACAATATATGTATCACACATAATCAGAAAGATAGACAATTTGAAAAAAGTCAATGACTCAAATGAAAACTGATGGTCATATGAATATTCATAGGCTATAAGTAAATATTTTATTTGAATTATATTCTTACAGGATTTACAGAACCCAACAGACAAAAGGATATTTGTTCTGGCAGCAGCTATAAGAGCTGGGAAAAGTATAGAAGATCTGTACAGACTGACAAAAATAGATAAATGGTTTCTGTACAAGTTTAAAAATATTGTTGATCACAACACTAAACTAGAAGAGTTTGCTGGACGAGGACAGGAAATTTCACATGATCTGATGTTGAGAGTTAAACAGCTTGGTTTCTCAGATGAACAAATAGCTAGAGCTATCAAAAGGTATGAAATTATGAGTTCATTTTCAAAAGATGTCATGCAAATGGATATATTTTAGAAAAATCAAATATATAGTAGTAAGTGATGCTGTAAGTTGTATATTTAGTGCTAGTATTTGTTTTGACCTATTATACCACCACAGTTTCGTCTTATGATCGGTCTTTAATTATTGTAAAATTTACAAATAACCACAGGTCTTTATAAAATCATTTGACCTTTTGTGAATGAAGTCCTTGTGAACAATAAAAAAATTAGAAATAATATGAAAGGTTCATTTTCTCACACATTATTAGTCTACCGTGGATTCAGTTATTTTCATAGATACCAACTTTCATGGATTGAGGAAACTTACATTTTTTGTGGATATTTGATTCTGTGGTTTTGCCAAAGTGTGCATACAAACCTTGAGAATTTGTAATTTGTTAAACATTTAAATTCATTGTTCACCTGTACCCACGAAATCCACAATAAATGGTATCCAATGAATAATAATGAATCCACAGTATTTAGTATTGAAAGAAAAGTGGTGCTGAAATGGCCATTCATTTGAATCCTTTTAAAATAATAAAAATGATCTTCCCTACAATTTATATTGTCATTGTCTTATAAAATAATCATAAAGAGAAGTGGTATGATTGCCATTGAGAAAACTAACCACCAGAAACCAAAGGATACTGAAGTAAGCAATTATAGGTCAGCTTACATCCTTTAGCAATGAGTAAAACCCATACCCTATAGAAAACTAGCATCTTGATTTATGCTTAAACAATAATTAGAAAACAAAAAACAAACTTGGCAGCTGACAGCAACCAACGACAACCACTGATAATAAAACATTATTTGTACTTCTAGTTTTGACCTTGATTTGTACTTGTAGTTCTGACCTTGTGGTTCGTAAGATGAGACAGGAAATGACTATCACACCTTATGTCAAACAAATCGACACTGTAGCAGCAGAATGGCCGGCCCAAACAAACTACCTATATCTGACATACAATGCTGCAGAGCATGATTTGTCCTTCCAAGGAGGATATATCATGGTGATAGGGTCTGGTGTGTACAGAATCGGGAGTAGTGTGGAGTTTGATTGGTGTGCTGTTAATTGTATAACTACACTTAGAGAGGTATGTATAAGTGTTATGTTGGATATAATGATGATAGGGTATACTAAACTATTCTTATTCTTAAACCAACCAAATTATCACAGACTTGTGAAGTCTTCTCCAGGAAAAATCTGGGTTTCTACTAGACAAAAAGGGAGTTCCAACTATGTTCTGTTGGCAGCACACAACCCTATTGCACAAATCTACCTTCCTGATTGAAGACAATCTGGCTTAATGTATATTACTTTTCTCAGGAAATTTAGCGTTGCATCTCATGTTTCATTTTTTGATGGCCTTGATTTCTTGGATTTTTCATATTAACAAATGGATTGAATTGAATTGACCATCATTCATTAAATTAAGTAATTGAACTATTACATATTGCAGTTGAAATATGCATTCTGTGAAAAACTTATTTTATTATGTAATGACAGAGAAGGGATTATAGATTTGTAAGCTATTTTCACAGGATATTTAGATAAAAAATAGTGAAGCAAAGGAGAATTTCATGGGATAACAAGTTGGTGAAATACTGGGAAATAATTGAACATTTTCTAAGAAATACTTAGTATTATTCATTATTAGTTTTGTTGTTTGTAGCTTGTTTAACATTTAGTTAAATTGGAGAGACCAGCCAGCTTACACGTGCACACAAGCTCAAGTCTTCGATATTTATGAAAATCATATGCAGATTTATTTACAACATCTACAGATGATTTCGATGGTTATATACCGTAATCGGCCGTGTATAGTAATTTTGAAGGAAGTAATATAAGAATGAATGTTTGTTTTATATTATCTACTGGCCATGGAATATCAAAGAATTATATATTATATTTACAGATGGGACATCAGACCATTATGGTAAACTACAATCCTGAGACCGTTAGTACTGACTATGATATGTGTGACAGATTGTATTTTGATGAAATCTCATTTGAGGTTAGTGTTACAAAATGTTTTTATTTTTTCAATAATTCATGCTGCAAAACCTTAGTGAAGATAACTTGCAAGAGGGTATTTATTCTATTATGTCTACCATTTTCTAAACATTTCCTTTTTTGCAAATTTAAAATAGAGGTACATACAAAGACAAACAACATAGTTTTGCTATCTCATTGATGAATATGCCACCTTGTTTTAATCTCATATATATTTTGAAGTAAACATAGATATAAGAAGATGTGGTATGAGTGCCAATGAGACAACTCTCCATCCAAGTCACAATATGTAAGAGTAAACCATTATAGGTCAAAGTACGGCCTTCAACACGGAGCCTTGGCTCACACCGAAAACAGCAAGCTATAAAGGGCCCCAAAAATGACTAGTGTAAAACCATTCAAACAGGAAAACCAACAGTCTAATCTATATAAAAAACGAGAAACACTTATGAACCACATCAACAAACGACAACCACTGAACATCAGGTTCCTGACTTTAGGACAGGTGCAAACAAATGCAGTGGGTTTAAACGTTTTAATAGGTGCCAACCTTTACCCTAACTGAAACAATAGTATAACATCACAACATAGAAAGACACACTATAAAATATCAATTAAAATGGCTTAACTCAATCAAAAGACATTTTAACAAAAACAAGTGAGCATACACTGAACGAATAAATTTGAACTATGACACACATGTAAATACAAAATAAATAAAACAAGGGGGTTAGATGTTTAACAATATCAGAAAGACAACCATAACCTTGGACAAAATGCCGCCAAATAAAATAACGTACACAGGTTAATAAAAATAATTTTGTCGTAAGGTATACGTGGAGTACGGAAATAATTTTTACAAAATACTATTATTTCCATCTATCATTACAGACAGTAATGGACATCTATAACCTTGAAGATCCAGATGGTATAATTTTGTCCGTCGGAGGACAACTACCAAATAATATTGCCATGCAGTTACATAGACAACAGGTAAGTTTGGAGGACTACTTCCACATAATATTGCTATGCAGTTACATAGACAAAAGGTAAGTTTGGAGGACTACTACCGCATAATATTGCTATGCAGTTACATAGACAACAGGTAAGTTTTGAGGACAACTACCACATAATATTGCTATGCAGTTACATAGACAACAGGTAAGTTTGGAGGACTACTACCATATAATATTGCCATGCAGTCACATAGACAACAGGTAAGTTTTGTGGTTGAATAGGTTATTATTAAATAATAAATTCTAATGCATTACTTATTCTTTTTCCAAAGAATGAAGTCTTGGGATTCGTAGGAATGTCCCTATCCATCTTTCTGTGTATCCATGGATTTTGTAGGTACAAAGTTTGTTAGAAAATAAATCCTAATTTATTGACCTTGCTAGCATGTCTTCTTGAAAAGCATCAGCAATTGTTTTTCGATGAACCTTCATGCAGAAGATTATTATATATGAAGATTTGTATGAAGCAAAATTATTACAATATGAAATCTTGAAAGGAATATAAGTGACTTGTGCATGATATTGAGTTACTTTTCACAAAAATTGGAAAATGATTACACATCCAAAAAATTTAATGTGTTTTGGAAATAACACGTGTAGTGCTCGTTCACAAAGAATTGGTTTAGAATTTCCCAACATTGATATACACAAGGTAAAATACAATCAAACATGCCTAAAGTTACACATTCAATTTAACAAGATAGTATTAAGATATTAAGTTTGCAAAATGCCTAAGTGATCTGGTGCTAGCATTTTTGCCTCAAGGTTTTAAGGTTAAATCCTTTACAATGTCTAACAATAGACGTTGAAATAAGTATTTCCTACTTTGCCACGAAGCACACAACATACTGTGGATTAATTTATTTTCGTGGGTACCAATTTTCGTGGATTGAGGAAAACTTGCATTTTCGTGGATATCTGATTTTGTGGTTTAGCCAAAGTTTATATAGAAAATTTGTAATTTGTTGAATATTTAAATTTGTGGTTCCCCTGTACCCAAGAAATCTCCGAAATACTTCGATTAATAATGAATCCACAGTATGTGAATAAGAGCAGACTGACTCTACCTTATGGCCTTAGTCAATATAAATGCATAGCTCATTTAAAACATGTTAATTTCATTGATAATCATGTTTTTTTTGCTGCAAGACATTTTAAAATAAACTTTCAATGAATTAATCTAGTTTTCAAATTGAATTTTATAATACTAGTATTAAAGTTGGTCAACATATCATGAATGACTCCTTTCTTAGAATTTTGCAATGTGTAGATAATCATTTAATGTTTAAATGTCAAACAAATAGTCACTTTATTACAATTTCAATATCCATGTGTAAAATCATTTTTGAGTAGTCATGCACATGTCTTTCAAAGATGTTAACAATGTTTAAAGCATTTTCACCAACAGGCTGATGATATATTTTTTATCCACTGGTAGGTTAAATTGGAAAAAAATTAATTCACTACAGTTTGTAAACCATCCAATATATTTAAAATAGATCTGTACATAATGCGTTTTGTATATCAATATAGTGTTGATATACATAGTAATGTTACCTGCATTACAATGATGTTTGTATTTTCAGGCCAGAATACTAGGGACTTCCCCAGAGTGTATAGACAATGCAGAAAACAGATTTAAATTTTCCCGTATGTTGGACAACATGGGTATACAGCAGCCCCAGTGGAAGGAACTTACTGACTTAGAGGTTAGTGAAATGTCCAAATCTTTCAATTCTCAAAATGTTAAAGTTTAATAGCAGATTAAAAAAAATGAAAAAAAGTAAGCTTATTCTAGCCACAAATATAAAATCACCCACTTATCAACAGACCAATTTAGAAGTTCATTTTGTTTCCTTGTAAATAACTCTTTTACCTGGTCAGATTATTACTGTAAATTCAGAAATAATTGCATGCATTTATTATTGCAAGTTTTGAAGAATGGGCTGAAATACAAGGTGAATTATTGCGATTTTAGGAACATCTGCATACAGATATAAGTATCAGATATCAAAATGTGAGTTCTTATTATTGGATCTTCATCCACTCATATTATTTGCATTAATAAAAACCTGGCTATAATTTCTGAATTTAAAGTAACGGATAATAAAATGATATATAGGGAGGTTATATGATTTTTGTCGAGCCTGCGACTTTTGTCGCAGAAAGCTCGACATAGGGATAGTGATCCGGCGGCGGCGGCGTTAGCTAACTTCTTAAAAGCTTTATATTTTAGAAGGTGGAAGGTCTGGATGCTTCATACTTTGTATATGGATGCCTCATGTTATGAAGTTTCCGTCAGTCACATGTCCAATGTCCTTGACCTCATTTTCATGGTTCAGTGACTACTTGAAAAAAAAGTTAAGATTTTTTGTAATGTTAGATTCTCTCTTATTATAAGTAATAGGATAACTATATTTGGTATGTGCGTACCTTGCAAGGTCCTCATGCCTGTCAGACAGTTTTCACTTGACCTCGACCTCATTTCATGGATCAGTGAACAAGGTTAAGTTTTGGTGGTCAAGTCCATATCTCAGATACTATAAGCAATAGGTCTAGTATATTCGGTGTATGGAAGGACTGTAAGGTGTACATGTCCAACTGGCAGGTGTCATCTGACCTTGACCTCATTTTCATGGTTCAGTGGTTATAGTTAAGTTTTTGTGTTTTGGTCTGTTTTTCTTATACTGTATGCCATAGGTCTACTTTATTTGGTGTATGGAATGATTGTAAGGTGTACATGTCTAGCGGGCAGGTGTCACCTGACCTTGACCTCATTTTCATGGTTCAGTGGTCAAAGTTAAGTTTTTGAGTTTTGGTCTTTTTTTCTAATACTATATGCAATAGTTCAACTATATTTGGTATGTGCGTACCTTGCAAGGTCCTCATGTCCGTCAGACAGTTTTCACTTGACCTCGACCTCATTTCATGGATCAGTGAACAACTGTATGCAATAGGTCTACTATATTTGGTGTATAGAATGATTGTAAGGTGTACATGTCTAGCTGGCAGGTGTCATCTGACCTTGACCTCATTTTCATGGTTCAGTGGTCAAAGTTAAGTTTTTTGAGTTTTGGTCTTTTTTTCTTATACTATATGCAATAGTTCAATTATATTTTATATTTGGTGTATGGAAATATTTTATGATCTATTTGGCAGTCACGCAGGTTTTATTTGACCTTGACCTCATTTTCAAGGTTCATTGCTCAGTGTTAAGTTTTTGTGTTTTGGTCTGTTTTTCTTAAACTATAAGCAATAGGTCAACTATATTTGTTGTATGGAAGAATTGTTAGCTGTACATGCCTGCCTAGCATGGTTCATCTGACATTGACCTCATTTTCATGGTTCATTGGTCAATGTTTAGTTTACTTGGTTAATGTTAAGTTTATGTGACAGTTGTAATAAAGCTTTATATTTAGGACTATCAACATAATATCAATGATTAGTAAAGAAGGCGAGACATTTCAGCGTGTGCACTCTTGTTTTCATAAGCAATAGGAGTTTTATAATATTTCCTTTTCAGTCTGCCATCCAGTTCTGTGAGAATGTTGGTTACCCGTGTCTTGTGAGACCATCGTATGTACTGAGTGGGGCAGCCATGAATGTAGCTCACTCTAGCAGTGAACTGAAGGCCTATCTGTCTCAGGCCTCAGCTTTGTCTAAAGACCATCCTGTAGTAATCTCAAAGTTTATACTCCAGGCAAAGGTAAGGTACCCTAAGATTATAACCTTGAATTAGTTGTAGTTATATTGGGAGTATAACTTCAATGAAACTGTTGATTTTGTAAATTATTGTGAAATTCTGTAGTGTTATTTAGGTATTTTATTCATTTGATGTTAAGTTGTGACAAGAAATATCTTTCAGATTTTGTTTATTCAATCAAATACATACATTTTTAACAGGAAATAGATGTGGATGCTATAGCTTCTGATGGGGAAGTTATTTGTATGGCTGTCTGTGAACACGTCGAAAATGCTGGAGTCCATTCAGGGGATGCAACTCTTGTAACTCCTCCACAAGATTTGAATGAAGAGACATTAGCAAAGATTAAAGTGATTTGTTGTTCCATAGGAAGAGCTCTAGAAGTTAATGGACCTTTTAATATGCAACTCATTGCTAAGGTAAAAACATAATGGTATATCTTAGATTTGAATGCATCTTTTTTTATAGTATGATGAATGTTAAAAATTGTAATACATGTGTAGTAGGACATTTTGTAATGAATTTCAGCATTGTATTACATATGTAGTGGTTGAAGAAATAAACATTTGTTAGCTGATTGTTCAACTTAAATTTGAGATCTGTTAATAATTTTTTGGCAAAAAATGCATTCGAAATTCTTTTGGATTAATTTACACATATCCATTTTGTTTTCCAGGACAATCAGTTGAAGGTCATAGAATGCAATGTCAGAGTGTCAAGGTCATTCCCATTTATTTCAAAAGCATTGGATTTTGATTTTATTGAAACAGCAACCCGTGTAATTATGGGTGAACCAGTCGAACCTGTAAATGTATTGTATGGTTGTGGTAGAGTGGCTGTCAAGGCACCAGTGTTCTCATTTTCTCGTCTCCATGGTGCTGATGTGTTGCTAGGAGTAGAAATGGCTAGTACTGGAGAAGTAGCCTGCTTTGGAGAAAATCGTTATGAAGCTTACTTGAAGGCTTTGATGAGCACAGGATTCAAAATTCCAAAGAAGAATATACTTCTGTCTATTGGCAGCTTCAAGGTAGGGATTTTTTAAAACAATGTTTTTGTGTGTATATTATATCAGCCAAAAAATTGTCATACATCAGTACATGAGTTGAAAAAAGTTGGTAAAAATATCAGTAATATACATACTTTAAAATGGTGCTAAACATAGCATAAAACCATTCGTTGGTTTTCTCTTTTAAATTGTTTCACATTTTGTCATGCCAAAACCTTTTATAGCTTACTATACAGTATTGGTTTTGCTCATTGTTGAAGGCTTACAGTTGTTAACATCCTTGTTCTTTGGTCACAGGTGGATGGTTGTCTCATTGGCAATCATACTACATCTCCTTTTTACATGGTTTTGTATGCTAAATCCTCAAAGCAATTTTAATTTCGATGGTGTCCTTGGTTCATGTTCATATCTGTCACCTTTGTTTTTCATTGTTATAATTAAGGTTGTTAGATTTTCGTCTTTGAATTGTTTGATGTTTTCTTTGTCCAGGTCTTTTATAGCTGACTACACAGTATGGGTTTTTCTCATTGTTGAAGGTCGTACAGGTGACTTATAGTTGTTTATATCTTCATCATTTGAACTCGGGTGGATAGTTGTCTCATTGGCAATCATACCACGTCACCCTATTTTATATTACATAAATGAAATTGGTGTTCGGCAAGTTAAAAAATACTTAAATTTAAAAAAGAATTAATATTGTGTGAAATTACCTAAAATCAAAAGTTTGCTTTGATATGTTTTAACTATGTTTTTTTAGGACAAGACAGAATTATTACCAGCAATTAAAGCATTGGAACAGATGGGTTATAACCTATATGCTAGTATGGGAACAGCTGATTTCCTCTCAGAACATGGAGTAAAAGTGAGTATCTATAATCTGGAATTTATACTTGGAAAAGGCTTGTTTCTACTGTAAAGTAAAATTAAAGTGAATGACCTTACACCTGTATCTTTAATTTACTGTGGATTCATTCATTTCATGAATATCAATTTATCGTGAATTTTGGACAAATTGTATTTTAGCCAATACTTGATTTCATGGTTTTGACAAATTTTTCCATACAAGCCTTATTGTAAATTTGTACTTTTGCGGAACACTTAAATTATTTGTAAGCCTCATCATGAAATCCATGAAAATTAGTTCCCTACAAATAATAATGAATCCACAATTTAGGATCTCTGAATGTTTTGAGTTCTAACTCTGCTCGTTCAGGATTGTGTTTGACTCCAATCTTAATTGAAAAGGATTATCAGTTTTCCTGCAGAACGTTAGTGGTTCTCTCTGGCTGCCTCCACCAATAAAAGCTGGCCGCATATTATAACCAGAATGCTGAAAGCATCATTTTAGGCATCTTTGCTAGCCAAGGGTTATATTCCAGTCCTCTCCTCTCCACCCTTGGCAGATTAAGCCAACATTTGTGATTACAATGCTGTGCCATCTACCGGTAGATAAAAGTCAACCCATTTTGACTACATCATTCTTGACCAATGACAGCACTTGAACTCTCTTCAGTGTAGAGGTGCAAAATTGATTGTGTCTAGTGTTTACATATTTCCTGAAGCAGAAACCGAAAATATATGTTGGAATTCCAACATTTGCCCTAGAATCATACCCAGGAACTGCAATAAGTTGATTAAGAACTTTAGAATTGTCACTAATTATCGTCCTATGTTTTGGGGGTAAAAACTTGGTGCACAATCAGCACATGGCAATTGTTTATTTACATTTTCTACATTTACACGTAATTATCTTAAAGCTGCTTTCTGATTGGATGCAGTCAGTTACAACCTCGATAAATGAATATCATTACTCCATGGATCCGAAATTCTATCGTAATCTGCCAAGGGTGGAGAGGAGGGGACTGGATCATAACCCTTGGCTAGCAAAGATGCATTGTAGGATTTTGTAAACTGTAAATCTGCAATTAATGCTAAAAATGTATTTGATTCAGCTTATTCCAATACAAACATGGCTTCCAAAACGGTCATATATTCCGGACTTGACAGAAATTTATATAATAAGTCCGGCTGCATTCAGCCTCAGACGGTCAAATAGCATAGGTTTGCCACTTTTTGTTATTCAAGGCATTTTCATAAAACGGTCATTTCACTTTTTTACCAACTATCGATCAGTAAAAATGTCCGTTTGGGCATTAAAGTTTATAACTGTGGCAATCTATTTCACAAAGATATTTCAGTCATATTTGGGTTTAATTAAACAGATGCAGCATATTTCAAATACTTTGAAGTGTCAATGTACGGCTTGGTCTTTAGCTTGTGTACATCAGTTAAAAGTAGAAAAAACAAGTGTTCTTTTATTTAAAAAACAACAAGCTGTCAAACAATTATTATTGAACCCTTCAATAAGTAATATTGAAGCCATAAATCATTCATTGATTACAGGTTGTTACCTTTGATGAGGTGTCCTTAGCTTGTCTTAATCAATAGAATTAATGATGCATAACAATGGACATAAAGGTGGTCAGGTAAACGAGGTCAAATGTATAAGCGTGTTTGGAACAACATCCTATTTAATTACGCTTTGTAGATATTATTTTAAATGAGCATTCAGTTTTAAAAAAAGTATCCTGAGATTTAAAAATAATTCTTCAAATAAGAATATTTATAAATGAATTTGTATGATATTCATTATTATATTTAAACACTGTACATCGTGTTAAATACTGGGGTATGCGAAAGGGTATTCAAAGTTATTTTCTTACATTTCAGTGGTTTGCATCTAATTAATTTAGTCTAAAAGATTGAAATTATAAGAAATACGTTAATAAATATGATTTGATGAAAAATTTTAAAAGGTTTTAAACGAATAATCGTCAGAACCACGTTGTTTGAACTAGTACACGTGTGCACATGTATGCTGGTGGGAAATTTTATTATGCATCCTAAATCTTCAAAAATGCTAAAATTGTCATTGATACCTTTATCTAACATTCATTTCGAGTATTTTCTTGAAGAAATAACTTTACTTAACTCAATCAAGCTTTGTAAACGTACACGGATTTTACGTATCCGTCTCTGGTCCTTGATTTACCATTGTCAAGTCAACATCCGGTATTAGGAAAATGTACTTTTTAAAAACGAAAGTAAAGTTTTTGACAATGTTATTTTGCACAAATAAAGAGTGTAAGGCAGAATTAGTACGCTGATGTTGCACACTTCGAATGTTGCGCTTTCAATTTAACAGTTTACGTCAGAACATCGAATTTATATCAAAGTAAAGTTTATTATTCCACTTTTTATACATATTGATAGTTTAATCAATATCTGATTGGTTGAGACTATCCCACGTGTCATTGAACAAATCTTCATATTCCATTCTGAGGATCATATTCCCCTCTGAAATGACGGGATTACATCGTGTGACGTTACGCGCGGTTAATGTACATAACGTTTTGAACTTCTTATTCTTCTTAAAATAGCGATAGCAATAATCATTATCATGTTCAAATTTATTTCAGACGATAAAACAAAAAGACTTATAATTAAATTTTGATCGGTACAGTTTATCAATGGGTATGCCGTGTTTAGTTTAGCTTATAAAAACAAGCGGATAAGAAAACAAAATGTATGCAAAATAATATTTAATGTATTGATAGTAAACAAACCAAAGGCAGTGGAATAAAACATTCATTTCCCTTTGCTTCGGGAGATATGAAGATTTGCTCACCCTCGAAAAATCGTATTTCCCTCGGGCAGAGCCCTCGTGAAATATGAATATTCTTGGGTGAACAAATCTTCATATTTCCCTCAGACACGGGAAATTAATGTATAATATCGTTTTAATGTCAATCATTGATTATATGATGGCCAACTGATTACCATAATTGCCTTTTGTTACTAAGTCTACAGGGATTAAAATCGGGATAAGATATAAAATGTCCGGCTGGCTCAAATATTTTTTGGATGCCCTGAATACAAATAACGTTTATACCAAATAACAACATCACAATAGCCACTTTTGATTTTAGCTGAAACATATAGTCAAAATTAGTGTTATATGAACCTTGTCCTTTGTTTTAAAAAAAACCTACATTTTGTCTATAGATACAAGGTGTAGATTGGCCTTATGAAGATACTGGTGAATGTAAAAATGGTGGCGAACAGAGGACCATCGCAGACTATCTAGCTGACAACATGTTTGACTTGGTTATTAATTTGCCACTACGAGGGTCTGGATCACAGAGGGCTTCGTCATTTGTAACCCAGGGGTATAAGACAAGAAGGATGGCTGTGGATTACTCAGTACCATTGATAACTGATGTCAAGTGTACTAAACTTATCATTGAGGTAGGTTTTGTTGGAATTTTGCCTGGTAGGATTAGTTAGATTTAAACATAGCATCAAATTAATTTTTTATGCAACAAACAGATTATTAAAATCATCTTCAATCTGTCAAATAGAAAAAATTCTGACTGACATTTTTTTTTTTATGCCCCACCTAGGGGCATTATGTTTTCGGTCTGTGTCCATTCGTTCATCTGTCCGTCTGTCAGTTCGTCAGTTCTTCCGTCTGTCCTGCTTCAGGTTAAAGTTTTTGGTCAAGGTAGTTTTTGATGAAGTTGAAGTCCAATCAACTTGAAACTTAGTACACATGTTCCCTATGATATGATCTTTCTAATTTTAATGCCAAATTAAGAGTTTTGACCCCAATTTCACAGTCCACTGAACATAGAAAATGATAGTGCGAGTGGGGCATCCGTGTACTATGGACACATTCTTGTTTTATAAGTTATTGAACCTTTTATTATCTTATCCCTTTAATGAAAAATATCAATTTGTTATTTTCTTTCATAAAAGATATTTTGATAATTCACTTTTTCATAAAGAATCATCTTTTACAATTAGAATTACAAAATAACAGCTGGACAAAGTAGATGTTGGATATCACAAACAAGTAAATAATTTGAATCAATTAAAAGTAAACTATTTTCTATAAATGATATGAATATGCTCAGATTTTGATGGTTGTTGAAAGAAAAGCTTGTGATATTATTTCAGGCATTACGTAGATTAAAAGGTGCCCCTCCACTCAAGACCCACATAGATTGTATAGCATCTCACAGAGTATTGAGACTACCAGGTAATGTAAAATATTTAAAAAAGAATAAGGAGTTCTGATGTCCAGAACTTTTTATGATTCCTGTTAAGTATCCTTTTCTTGTAATATTTTCAGAAAAAAATGTTTGTATGAAATTGGATTTACTCGAATTTAGAAAATGCTAACCTAAACTTGTCTCATTACATTTTGTTTGAAGTTTTCCCGCTTCATATAAAATGTGCTGTCAGCACTTTTACATCCCAATAAAATTACAAAAAGAAGCATTCAATACTTGAAAAGCACAATGATTTTATCATAAAATTATGTGGAATTACTTTCCAATAAATGCAAAGGATTAGGCCCGGTAAGACCCCCTTTTGGCCCCAAAATAAAGCCTTTTTACAGATTTGTTAAAATGTAAACTTTTAGCTATTTATTGGAAAGTAGAATACTTTTGCTACATAAAGATTGGCTGTTTTGACAATACAAAGCACATGCATCAGGTAATAGCATCATTAATTCATGCAAGATTACTGAAATCTTCACAATTTTAATATTTGTGCTAATTTTTAGACGGTTTTTGTCTAAAATGGAAGTGGCCACATCTGTGTTCTGTCTTAATATTTAAATATATGTTGTACTTAATGATATTACATAACATATATAAAGGTTGAGACTGAAGCTGAATGCGGCCACTTTCATTTTAGACAAAAACCATCTGAAAAGTGACGTTATATGGCATATTTGATAGATTTTTCATATTTAAGCTTGAATTTGAGCGTCTTTAATGACCATATCAGTTTAAATATTTTCCAAAAAACTAATTGAATTGACTGAAGTAGACACTAAAGTGTTTAAAAAATGTCAAAAAATCTTCCATCAGATTTACTTCAAATTTTAGGCCAAAATTAGCCCTTACCGGACCTTCTCCTTTCAGCATGTAAATTTGAATGGTCATTTTATTTTATTTTAATTTTCACCTGTAAGGTGAAGAACAAAATAAAGATATAAAAAAAGCTTACCCTAGACTACCTAATGAATTGACCATCAAAAGTTACCATGTGGCCTTTAACAATGAATGAATAGACTACAAAAGCGGAGTTGATTAAATCAAACTGTAGACCCATGACACTTCTCAGATAAAACAATATTCATCTTAACTTACAGGTCTTATTGATGTCCATGTTCATGTTAGAGAACCAGGAGCTACTGATAAAGAAGATTTTGCTTCAGCTACTGCAGCAGCTCTAGCAGGGGGAATAACTCTTATCTTAGCTATGCCAAATACAAATCCTCCAACAGTTGATGATCAAGCATTTGGTATAACTCAAAAGGTAATTTTATGGGATTATAGATTGATCCAAACAATTTGTTTGTAAAATTTATTGATTTTTTCCTGCATCGCTGAAGGAGTAAACTGCTCACCTCTGTCAGTCCAAAGGAAATCATTCATCAAAATTTTTTTGGCTTTTACGAAATGATTTGATATTGGTCTGCAGCTTTATTGTTGAGTTTTTATTAATAATGTTTATGAATTGCTTTTCGAAACTTAATGGATTCCTCTATCTTTATGTAGGTTGTCAAACTTACTAAGACAAGATTATGCTTCTAGCAATCAATTTGTTTATGCATGCATTTATTGTTGCGAATCCTTGACCACTGTCAAAATCGGAAATTTAATTGATGCAATTGCAAATATTTTATGAAGAATACAAGTTTTTATGATTGCGAACCTGATACTGTAACATATTTTGCATTAGTAAAACATTGCAATATTTTCTGAATTTACAGTATATTATGAACAAGGGAAATAATAATATAATAATGCATTGATCTATTAATCAAAATAAACAAGAACAGAATATATTTGGTTTTTTTTTAATACTTCAGTGTGCCAAACAAGGTGCCCGTTGTGATTATGGTATATTTGTTTTTTTAACACTTCAGTGTGCCAAACAAGGTGCCCGTTGTGATTATGGTATATTTGTTGGAGCCAGTAGTACGAATTACAACACATTACCACAGATTGGTGGGAAAGCTGTGGCACTGAAGATGTATCTGAATGAAACTTTTACAACATTGAAACTAGATGATATATCTATATGGATGAAGGTAAGAATTTTTCATTGGACACTGTTTTGATAAATTTAGATGGAGTAAGAATGGGCTTTTTATAAATTCATAAAATACTCATGATTAAGATTTTAAGCTAGTATCCATGTTACTTTTATGCCATGCATAAAATACCAACATCTTTAAAAAAAAAAATCACAAACTTGTTGTTCATGATTTCAAAATTGTAGGGAAATATTATGAAGAATTTTGAATTTTGTGCTCCGGAAATGAGTTGTTCTTTGAAAGAAGAAAGTTTAAATATTTTAGTGGCCCTGTTTATGGATGCCATTCCTGATATGCCTGAATATATATATGTAAACATGTTTTAACTGATAAATACATAGAATACAAATTATCATGATAAAATAAATGATGTTAAATGTTTTCAGATGTGAAAAACTTTGTTTGAGACCAACTCCTTTTGCAAAATGTGGATATCCATGTATTTATAATTGAAGTCCATTATTTTTTCAGCATTTTGAACATTGGCCAAAGAATCTACCACTATGTTGTCATGCTGAAGGAACTCATACAGCTGCTGTTATACTACTATCAGAACTTTTTAAACGTCCAGTTCACATCTGCCATGTTGCCAGAAAAGAGGAAGTAAGTGGCCCTGTTTATGGATATTACTTAAATTATTTTTGTTCAGTTTATGTCTTAAAACCAATCCTGTTCTACAATGGTTTAAATAGCTTGTTTAATAAAAAAAAAATACATATTACATGAGAATGTTACTCAGAAAAACAGTATTGCAGTAGAGAGTACAACATAGAACAAACATGTGACTCGTACAAAAAAAAACAACAACAAGCAACTGGTGGTATAGATAGCCTAACTTGGTACAGCCACAAAATATGCTGGGGTTAAACCAGTTTTTAATGTGCATGGACACCTCAACATTTGGCTATCAGTATCTAGACCATATTAAGTCAAACTAAAACCCAAATTAAGAAACCTGCACAGTTGAGCTACCAACAGGATGACCTTTACTTTAGCTAGAAAATACAAAACAGAACAACATTTCGAAAGTCAGCTTCATTAGAACACATTCTAGCAGAAAATTTGATTTTTATCATGCATTTATAATGTCTCATTCTAGATCCTTGTTATAAGAGCAGCTAAAGAAAAAGGTTTGGCTGTCACATGTGAAGTAGCTCCTCATCACCTATTCTTGACAGCTGATGACCTTGATAACATTGGTCACCAAAGAGGTCAGGTGAAACCTCCACTATGTACCAAAGAAGACCAGCAAGCATTATGGGACAACCTTGAAATAATTGATTGCTTCGCTACAGATCATGGTAAGGCAAAAACAAACTTGTTTATTTGGATAGGCAAACATCCAGTTTAGCGGCCATTTGTCAAAGTTATTTTGTCAGTTAGAAAAGTTTTTTTATGTTTTACACTATACTTGATGACGGTTTTAGCTTGCTAGTGGTTGAACAAAAAGAAGATCGCTTCGAAGAATAATACTGGTGAAAAAATAATTTGCCCAATTTATGGTGAAAAAAAGTTGGGGTCCACCCTTAAAAATTAGCATTGGTCGGTACACTCAGTAAACACAATTTTTTGTTTTGTTTTTTTTGGCTAAGCTTTATTATTATGATCTTTATATACCGTATAGCGGGTTATTTTCGCGGGGTGTTTATTTTCGCTTATTTTGGCGGATAAAGGATAGTCGCGAAAATAAATTCCTCTAAAATTTATGCATACGTACGATACTTTCTAATAGCTGGAGCATTTTGTAAACGATGTATTTTTTCGTTCGGCGGGTCAATAACGGTTTATGTTAGTTTTAACTTCATAAATGCCAAAGGGCATTTGTTGCCCCTAAATCGCGAAATTTTACACCCGCAAAAAAAACCAATTATACGGTATTCTTTTTGTGGACTACAGAATGTTGAGTGTGAATTACCATATTTGTGAAGAAACCCATTTTATTAAAAAAAAAAAAAAAACACTTAGTTGCAAAAAAGTCTCTGTTTTCCAAATAAAATCATGTATCTAATGATTTTTTGTTTCCTTGAATGTTAATACATAATTGCTTATTTACAAATTATTTTAGGCTTTGTAATGGATATTGGCCTTGATACCAGAAGTCATTTACTTTCAGTTGTTAAAGAGAGTTGATTATTGATTATTTCAGCCCCACATACAGTAGAAGAGAAGGATGGAGCCAAGCCACCTCCTGGATATCCAGGTTTAGAGACCATGTTACCTATGTTGTTAACAGCTGTTAACCAAGGGAGACTAACTTTAGATGTAAGTTCCTGAGAAGACGGCAGTATGTCTCATTAAAGATTTTAACATCTCATGGAATCTTGAAATGATTTGTGATGATATTTATACTATGATAGGATTTTTGTTAAATATGTTTTGTCTCGCCTCAAAGAAATTTGACAAAGGCAAGAAAGGTGTTGCTTTTCCAGCAACGTCAACAGTTGTTAAGTTTTCTACCTAAGTCAGTTTTGATTGAAACTACTTGTGATAGATCAGTGATATTTCCTATAAAGTTGCATTACTATTAGTGCATTTAGTTTGACAATGTTTTTAATAAGCATTGCATACAAATACATTTAACGTTATGGTGTTTTTTTTCTTTAAAAACAAGAAAAAGGCACTGAAGTTGAGATTTATTGTGATATAAGCTATTAAAGTGGATTATAACCAACCTTTGTAACTTTCCTCTAGATGATCATCACATGTATTGTACATATCAGACATGCCAGCTTTCTTGATTGATGAGTGATTTTCTATAGGAGAGGTGTTGACCTGACTCTTGAAATCCTCCATTTTATAATATGAATACCTCAAAACAGACATTCAAAGGAGTTAAAACAGCATTTAAACGCATATATACTTTTTCAAACCATAAAAATGTATTAGATTGGAAACACTTATGACATAGATTAGGTCCATTTGAGCTTAAAACTGTCCTTAAAAATAGCTTAAAACCCCGCATGGAAATTTTTAAAAGCCGAGGAGTATGACTAGTTTGTGTATTTTTGCAGGACATAGTTAGCAGACTACACACTAATCCCAGAAGAATATTCAATCTACCAGAACAGCCTGACACATACATAGAAGTTGATATGGAAAGTAAATGGATCATTCCAGAAAGTATGAAATTCACAAAATCAAAATGGACACCCTTTGCTGGCAAACATGTGGTTGGAAAAGTCCGACGTGTCATGCTTAGGGGAGAAGTGGCATACATAGATGGTGAGGTATGCCAAAGTCAGTTTGATAGCTATGTCATTTTGAAATTTATGAATATCAAACAATAATATAAACCGACTCATAATTTATATTTTATGTATCAGTATATTGGTTGTCTTGGACATGTTCATTAATCAGAAAAAATTTGTTCAATAATCATTAAAGTCTGAAATGGGGACCATATTTTGGGGTTTGGGACTTGTCAAAATAATAATTTTTATGAGGGGACTGGCTCACTAAAGGTTCATACAGATATACTATTATTAAGGTAAAATTTGATGATGAAAAAGCAGAAATACTGAATTGTTTATAACCCATTTTAAAACTAAATAGGACAAGACATTTTTTTTGTTTACAAATAATTGTGCAGATCATTCAAAATGAAAAATATGCAGTTTTTTTATCCATTCATGAGTACCAACATGGCGCTGATGCCATTACAGATTTATTGACCAGATGAAATAAAGGACATATCAATAATACATTTTATGATACTTTATTTGCCATCTTTTATTAAATCAAGCATTTTGCTACATCTTATATTGTTAAGTCAAGAAGTCTTTTTTAACAGTTTATTTGTCTCGTTTAATTGAATAGAGGATGTTTTTTAAGACATTTTGATATTATATTTGCAAGACTTTTTATCCAGTATTTTGTTGAGATATTTTTATGATATTTCATTTGCTAGGTTGTTTTGAATCCAGGATTTGGTTGTGATATCAAAAGCTACAAACATTTCCCAAGCCAGGTACAGAGTGATCAGTTACAAGTACAGATACCACCCGGAACTTATGGAGGATCTGCCCCATCATCAGAGCCATCCAGTCCTAGAAAGATCTTACAAGGAGCTTCGTATGATAGATTGACTAATAAACCAGTCAAAGTAGAAAGTTACACTTCCTATGGTAAGCTTTTGTATATATTAATTGGTTTCCTTATTTGATTCCTGAAGTTTATCATGGGATGTTTGTTATAATACAAAAGATCAATTGAAGTGCTTTTAATTATTGAAAAGTGATTTTTCAGTTTCATAATAAGTTTTCATTTTGAGCTTCTGTATTGTAATAATTAAAACTTTAAGTTGCTAACATATTTTACAAATAACAAGGGTTGTCTCCCTTACTTGATTATACATTGGTCTTGATGAATCATCCAACTATGGATATTTTTAAGCATTAAATTGTTCTTACACGAGTAAAAAACCTAAAAGATGTGGAAATTTTGTTCTTACAATATTGATAACCCTAAAAGATGTGGGGATTTTTTCTTACAATACTGATAAAACTAAAAGATTGGAAACTAAATTCTCCATATTTAATGTTATTGAAAATTGCATAGGAATTAAGAAAAAGTGGACATTTTTTTAGTTAGAAATTGGCTTAATGCTACAATTTCAGTTTAGTGAAGTTAGAACAGTTTGAGATATGGCTTCCTTAACTGTGTTACTAAGTGATCAGTATATCTAATTTCAGACATCCCTTTTGACTATGGTAAATTTATGATATTGTATCATACCTTGTATTCATATTGTCACCTGTATCTTCATTGAGGGAATTTTAACTAATTTCATACATAATTCATCATATACTTTAGTTTTAATCTAAATGCTTGTGGGATTTTGGAGATATCATACTTTATTCTGTCCCTTATTTAGAATTTTCAATATGAAAATAAATTTAGGATCATGTGTTAAAAATCTTGTCTTCTGGTGACAAATGAAGAAAAGTTCAATTAATGTTAAGTTTTAAAGAACACCGACAACTGTTAGATATCTTGTGACAAACACTTTTTATTCATTTATTAAATTTTTTAATATTATTTTTCCTCTTTTGAGAATTGGTTGAAATAAATACATTTATTTATGTTTTATTGGTTCTGTCAAAGCATGTGCTTGAATTCTCAACCTTATTTTGAAAAAAACTTTGTCAAATGTAAATGTTTTAATATCGAACAAATGCTTTAAGTAACATTGATTTTATTACCTGCATGTATATTAATATAGTTCTAACAAAGCAACTGGTAGCTTGGGAATTGTTACAAGTCTCATATTAAAAGATGTTAGTTCTTTAAAGTATAGTCGAGTTATAAAAAACTAACCTGAAGTTGTCTTCCAAGTTGCTACACATTCCTATCATTTTAATAAATTCAGTGATAAGTTTCAATAACTTCAATGCTAAAATTCAATAAATTCAATGATAAATTCATTAAATTCAAGTTCTTGGATGTTTATTAAAGTTTAAAATGACGTGTTATAAATTATATAACCCAAATAAGAAGTTGCGAGAAGTAGATTTAGGCCACTGATTGTTTCCAATGGTAAGGAATTGTAAACCTTTATGACAATCTTCCTATCTGAAACTATTTGGCTAGTTTAAAACCCTCTACAATTATCCAAAAGAATTGTAGGTTTAAATTTTTTTTTCAAATGATGCCACTGACCAGCCAACATTTCAGATCAGTCAATAGATATGGAAACTTGTAGAAAATATAAATCAGTCTTTCCCTTGAGAAAGACTTAACCGATTGAAAACAGCTATGATTGAATAGTTTCTGAAGTAAAGACTGTCTCAATATAAAACATGGCTGGCAAGTGATTAATTAACATTCATTGTTCGATTAAAATCTGAAGGATAATTATTTGGTAGGAAATATGATAGCATTAAGACCATACAACTGTGTATGTATTTATAGATTATCGTTGGTCATCTCAACGAGATTGATTTTCTCGCTTGAGCCGGTACGGCGAAAGTGAGAAAAGCGATCGAGTTGAGATGACCAATGATAATCTGTTTATCGCTATTTTACCTATGACGACGTTGTTAATTTCATTGACAACGGCACGTGCGCCATTAGTTTCTAGCAATAATATTTCATATCACTCTACTGTGCTGAGAAAGGAAATTATCAGTCAATAAGATCAAAGGAAAATTTCTTAAAATAGCAATAAACATGCTTACAAATATTTTGGCTCATTATTCTTGTACACTTTTATGTTAATTAAACTCTTTTTGAAACAAAGTCCATAATTTTACAGTCTTTCCTAGTGGAGATGAACACACAAAAGGTAATACACTTTAGGTTTTATACATATTTTGATAATATATTTTATGTATAAATTAAAAATATTATTAGCGGCTTTTAATTCATATTTGTAAACATGTAGTTGTAATTGTGTTGTATGCCTCAATATATGTAGTTACTATATTTTGAAAAAACTAACAGCATTAAAAGGTAGGGTTTGAAATTAGCAGTTGCCCACTCACTAATTGCGAGTGCTTTATAATGTGGGCTCATATATATATATATTTTTCTGCGCTCTTTAAGATTTACTGTGGGCCCACAAATCTTTTTTACTAAGGGCCCACATTGCTCCTTGAAAATAGAATAAAGTTCAAAACATGAAAGGGCTGTTTACATGGTTTTAGTTATAGTCCAGTGAATGTACAGAGTTTGTGTCATGATTTGATACACCATATTCAGTCTTTTTAACTTGTACAAAATAAGTGGATGGTCATCTGTAACATTATTATGGTTGTTTTAAAATATTACAGTATAATTTGACTTAATTTGCATGAAAATATACTGTATATTCAGAAATTTTTGCAATGTTTTTAATTATTGCAAAAATTAAGCTGGAAAAGGTATCACAAAAAATGAAGAAAAAATCGCAATACTCAATGCATGCAAAAAAAAATCACTTGCAATTTCCCTGATAACCAGTTCAACTTTCAGCCAATAGAAACATAAACTGTTTGCTAGTTAAAATATCAAGTCTACATCAGATCAATGTTGGCTTTAATCTAAAAGTATGAGGAAGCCAAAAGAGAGAGAGAGAGAGCAGAACCAAGGTGGCAATACAACTCCAATAAAAACACAGCAAAAAAGACAAACAACAATAACAAACATTCCTCATAAAACTAAAGTTATATCATTAATGGCTTGGTTTCCAGTTTCTTAATGATATTGTTGACAAATATGGATAAGGAAACATTGCACGGATTTGCTTTTAAGGGGTTTTCAGAAATAATTGTGAAGCAGGTGGAAATTGATTTCAAATAGAACTTTATCAATGATGGTTATTACCAAAGATGAGCCGTATGAAATTAAGGAAATAATGAACATTTATGAATGATATAATAGAAATGAAAGTGCTTCTAACACCCTATACATTAATTGTTAATCAGGCTTTAGTCTTTTGGCAAACTGTATATATAAAAACTGTTAAGCTTCCTTGTGCGTCTGTCATATATTCTTTATTTTCCAAATAACAGTTTAAATAAAATCATGAATGCATGATATATATAGATTCTACCACTGCATCGAGTGTGATACGATATTTATCCACTTGAGACAGTTAAATATTTAAAATTTAACTGTCGAGAGTGGATAAATATGGTATTACACGAGATTTGGTGGTGGAATCTGTTTCTCTAATGATTTTCAAACAATATGCAGGCAAAATCATTCCGTCTTTTCGAATGATCTGCAAAAAGATGTGTTCTTTCTATGTGACGTCATCGGGCATGGTCGCCTTTTTTCATGCCGTTACAATAGGAAATTCAGAGGAAAGCAAGTAAATTCGACGTCATAATCGGATTTTAACCAATGAAGAACTGAGATCAAAGGAACCACACGTTAATTAAATTTTTTTTATACAATGGGTGCAGAAAGGGATAAATTGACGAAGAATTAGAGAAACTTATATTAGAAATATCTTGCATGTTTAGATATATTAATTCAAAGTAGTTGATTCGCTTTATCAGATAACACCATCTTGCATATTTTAGTTATTTGCTTAAATTTCTCCTGCATACTGCACAAAATCAATTCATATTTCTAGTCTGATACGACTCTGAAATTCATAATATTGGATAAATGCATAGTCAGCATAACAGATGATTTTTCCTGGAATGAATTAACCACACTGTTAATATTGACTTAAAAGACAAAGGAAACTGAATAAGTGACATGATTAAACAATTTACAATAACATACTTAGACCGGTTTGGACGAAGTTATATGATAATCATACTTTTATTTAAGAAAATTGGCTTTCAACAAATTTTTATTATTGTTTGTTTATGTTTCCTTGTTTTGATGACATTCAGTTTCACATTCATGCATTTTTTCCGTAGAGTGCTTATATTCTTATCTCATTGTTCAATGATGTCATTTACACCGATTGACGATATGAAAAGCATATGATGTGGTAGTAAAATGGGAACAGCCCTAGCAAATCATAATGTTACCGTCAGCTGACATATGCTACAATTTATTCATATTTTACCACGGATGTGTTCTCAAAGTGTTTTGAAGAACTTCATATTAGAATGTACATAAATATTTCTTATATATTTATGGAAGCTATCAAAAAATTCAGTATTATGTTAAATGTAAAAATGGTTGTTCCGCAGTATAAATGTTTGAATTGTTTCTGCCATATTATGATTTGTAAACAAATCAGTGACTTATAGTTGCTTACACCCACGTTATTTGGCCTCTGGTGGACAGTTGTCTCATGGCAATTATATTACATCTCCTTTCTTTTTATAAAGGGAGATAACTCCATTGTTTATTATTATTTATTTTATAGCTAGTGGATATGATAGTAGCAGGGAAAGAGAGATTGGTATGATAACACCGCCACAGGCACAGCTATCTACCATTTTACAACCTGTAGGGCTGCCACACTATACTCATGGTGTTACTGGTCATCATGTCTTGACAGTAAAAGCATTCCAAAAGGAACAGGTAATTATCTCCCTTGAATATGGGAAATCTTTATATCCCATAGGGAATTACTAAACACCACATTGGTCTGTTAGTCAATCTGTAATTTTCCTTACATATTACTTAGCTTCTGTATTAGGATTGATTTGATAATTTTAAGAGAGTTTTCAGATTGTACAATATCTGTTATGGGATGGGGTATGTCATATGCTTGCTGAAAGTCGAAAGTTCACCTACACAGAAAAATAAATGCCTTATAATTGTAGAACTGTAAAGAAATTGTGTAAAACAAACAGTTGCACACAAATTGTTGCTTCAAGCCAGATGTCATGAGAGCAGTTATGGTCGGAAAGTTAATGTTGTCCAATAATATTGTGTCTATCACATTTAGAAATGTGATGGCCTTCATTTACTTTAGGGGATCCTGTACTTTAGGGTAAGGATTTGTAAGGTTTATAATTAGGTTAGATTATGATACATGGTTAGCAGAGGTCCTCAAAAGTGGTCCAAAGGTTTTGACCATCAAAATTTTGCAAAGGACAAACGCAATTTTGGTATTTGCAATAGAAATATAAGTGATGACCAACAGATTTTCTTGAAGCACCACCAGGGAAAAACAGATTTCAAGAGCTAGTGGTCAGGGTTAGGGTTAGTTTAGTATAGCCCTATATGGTCTTGGTCCCCTGAGGTAAATGAAGGCCATTGTGATTCGTGGTCAGTTATGTTGTTTACTTTATTTACAGCTTCATCACTTATTTAACTTGGCACATCAGTTTAGATTGGCAGTGATCAGAGACAAATCATTAGATTTTATACTCAAGGTATGTATGCATATTATTTATTGTTAAAACCAGCGGTCACTACAAATAATTTGTTATTTCTTAAATATGTTGTCAGAGGTCATTTTACACTGTCTTCCTTTTCTGAACTATACCAACATCTCTAGGTATCCAGAATGAACAGAATATCTTATTTTTATGCCCCCGCCATGGCGGAGGGGGCATTAAGTTTTACCCTTGTCCGTCTGTACGTCTTTACGTCCGTCCATCCGTCCGTACATTCCAAAGTTGGTTTCCGTTTTCTATAAGTTTGCCTCAACCAAATGTTATGAAACTTATACACAATGCTTATTACCACATAATACAGATCTAATTCGAAATTGGGTGGCATCACTTTTACCGTTCTTGAGTTATGCCTCTTTATAAACATGCTTATTACCACAAAATACAGATCAAGTTTCAATTTTGGTGGTGTCACATTTACCGTTCTAAAGTTATGCCTGTTTACAAATGGAAAAATTGCTGAATTTAGTTTTTGTTCTCTAACTTAGTTAGCCTCAACTAAATGTTATGAGACTTATACACAATACTTATTACCAAAAAACTCAGATCAAATACAAATTTGGGTAGCATCACTTTTACCGTTCTTCAGTTATTTTTATACGCCCGTTTACGGGACGTATTATGGTATACCGTTGTCCGTCTGTCCATCCGTCGTCAACATGTCGGACATTTACTCAAAAATGCTTTCACCAATTTGCATAAAACTTTGGTGAATTGTTCATATCTATTGACGTGAGCTCCCTTTCGTTTTTTATAAAATTTAGATTTTATGTTTCCGAGTTATGGGGTTTTATTCATTAAAAAAAGGGGGAAATTCCAGTTTTCGGACAATAAGTCAAGAATGCTTTCACCAACTTGCAAGAAATTGTGGTGAATTGTTTATATCTATTGACATGAGCTCCCTTTCGATTTTTATAAATTTTAGATTTTACCTTTCTGAGTTACAGGGTTTTATTCATAAAAAAAGGGGCGATTTTCCAGTTTTCGGACAAAAACTCAAAAATGCTTTCAGCAATTCTTATGAAACTTTGGTGAATTGTTTGTATGTATTGATGTAAGCTTCTTTTAGAATTTTATAAATTTTACATTTTACGTTTCTGAGTTATGGGGTTTTATTCATTAAAAGAAGGGGTGATTTTCCAGTTTTCAGACAATAACTCAAAAATGCTGTCACCAATTCTCGGGAAACTTTGGTGAATTGTTTATATCTATTGATGTAAGCTCCCTTTTTATTTTCATAAATTTCTAATATGACATTGAGAATTATTTGAACTTTATTTGTTTATAGTCTGACAACAGATATACTAAGTATTGCACAACAGCAAGAAATCTTTAATTGAATATAAATTCAATTCATATAACTAATTTCAAGTTCTTTGACTACATTTATTCAGAAACCTATAATATGTCAAATATTTAATTACAATCCAAATTCAGACCTGAATCAAGCTTGAATATTGTGTCTATTTTTGCCCTAACTGTTCAGGGTTGGACCTCTGCAGGCGTATCTAGCTGCGCTCAACGAAGCAGTTTATTTTCATTTATATTTTCCATGCCTTCCCATTTGTTAAACAAACTTTTCCATAACAGTTGTTAAGGTCAAGGAACAGTAAATGGGCTATATCACAGATTTTGGTAAAATTTGGCATACAACTTTGGCTCGTTGAATGATATCTGAAAATCGAAAAAATAATGCCTTTATCTCTTTTATTTTCTTAAATATTACTGATTGAATTCTTTCAAAATAGGTGAACATTCGTATAGGAAGCACATAAAATTGACGAAAAACATTCATAAATATCTCTTTAAAATCATCAAATTTCCAATTTTTAATACATAGATTTTTCTTAAGAAACTTAATGTTGTTAATAAATAAATTTTCGTTTTAACAATATAAAATACATCGACCTTGTTTTTTGTGAATTGACCAATCTGTTACCTAGTTGGTAGTGAAAAACGTCAAAAATCGACGTTTTACGGCCTACAAGGCTATGACGTTACGATTGTTTCGACTAGATATTGGTGAACAGGAAGACAATAAATAATTCATTAGCAGTACATTTCTGAAAATTTACATAAGATTTAGGATTTTCTTTTACAAGAAAGTCCATGTACACTTGTTTTATATTAAAACTTACATGACTTAACCATTTACAGCTCTTTTTATAATGCTAGCAAGACAAAGGTTTGTTTGGCTTGCTTGCTTTGTTTGTATCAATGTTTGCTCAAGCATTGTAATTAAGATTGACATCTGCAAACAATATAAGTAGGCGGAGTTAAATCTGTGTAAAGGTAAATTTGATTATTTGATAATGTCCAATCAAAGGAGTAGGGGCATTAAGGCCCAGTTTTGGCCCAAGAAAATAAAATATTTGACAACTATTTCAAATTTGCACATATTGTTTAGAAATGCATAGAGTCAGGAAATATGAATGAAAAACATAAGAATTTTTATCTGATGACGTCACAATTACGTCATAATATGTACCGTTTTCATGAAAACGATGAAAAATACAGAATTTATGCAGTTTCCATCTTTATTTCCATTGCGGAAACATCGTGCGCAGCCAAGAAACAACAAAATAATTTAAGAGAAGCTTTATTATAACTACTGACATAATCTCACCAAATATAAAGTTGTTTCTTGTGTGCGCACATACTTTGCCAATCTAAAATATACTTAAAATTTGATGAAAAACAAGGAAAATCAAGAAATTTTACAAAAGATACTGATTTCGTCATGGTTTGTTGCCATGGTAACTCGTTAAACCTGAACTTTGTTTTTATTTTCTGAATACCTGGTACCTTAGTCTAGTTATGACAAATTTCAGAATATGTATGATAACTTTTAAATTTGCAGTAATATTTGGGCCAAATAAGGGCCTTATTGCCCCTACTCCCTTAAATATAATGTATACAAGTTTAAATCCTCCTTTTTATACGCCTGTTTACGGGACGAATTATGGTATACCTCTGTCCGTTTGTCCGTCCGTCGTCAACATGTCACACATTAACTCAAAAACGCTTTACCCAATTTGCATAAAACTTTGGTGAATTGTTTATAACTATAGACGTGAGCTCCCTTTCGTTTTTCATAAATTTTAGATTTTACGTTTCCGAGAAATGGGGTTTTATTCATTAAAAAAGGGGGGTTTTCCAGTTTTCGGACAAAAACTCAAAAATGCTTTCTCCAATTTGCAAGAAACTTTGGTCAATTGTTTTTATCTATTGACATGAGCTCCCTTTTGATTTTTATAAAGTTTAGATTTCGCGTTTCTGAGTTATGGGGTTTTATTCATTAAAAAAAGGGGGATTTTCCAGTTTTCGGACAATAACTCAAAAATACTTTCAGCAGTTCTCATGAAACTTTGGTGAATTGTTAATATCCATTGATGTAAGCTCCCTTTTGATTTTTAGAAGTTTTATATTTTACGTTTCCGAGTTATGAGGTTTTATTCATTAAAAAAAGGGGGATTTTCCAGTTTTCGGACAATGCCTTTAAAGTGCTTTGAGCAGTTTTCATTAAACTTTGGTGCCTGGTTTATATCTATTAAGATAACCTCCCTTTAGTTTTTCATAAATTTCTGATATGACATTGAGAAGTTATTTAATTGTTTATACGGATTACTAACGGTCAAGTCTTTATATATGGATGAATAACCAACAACTAGGAAATGATCCAAACAATAAGGAAATACTTCAAACTAAACATTTTTTTAAAAAGACATATGAAGACTATGGGATGGCTGCGTTAAGTTTTTGGGCAAAGTGAAATAAAAATATTATATAGTTAAGCCTTTTTTATTGAAAATCACATATTGCAATAATTATTTGAACACCAATTTTTCGTGGTCCGACAGTTGATCATGGTTGTGAAGTGATAATGGTATAGTTCCGAATTTGCACAGAAAGAAAAAAAAATGTCAAGATTAAACTAGTATTTTATTTCATTGCATTAGATTTATTCCAGGTAATTTCATAACTTTTCTCCACATCTTTTTTTTTTAAATAGTGTGAATTTTTATTTCCACAGGGTAAGGTAATGGCCTCCATGTTTTATGAAGTTAGTACAAGAACAAGTTGTTCCTTCTCTGCAGCTATGCAGCGACTTGGTGGAACAGTTGTCTACCTTGATGATGCACATTCTTCTGCACAAAAGGGGGAGACACTGGAGGGTAAGTAACAAGATACATTATTGCCTGAACATATTATAAACCATGGTCCTAATCATATACTCAAGTTTCTATGTTCAGTTCTAATAATGAACATTTCCAGTTGGAAATTTCTTGAAAAGTATTGAACTATTTCCTTTAGAATGTTAACTGCTTTTTTCACATCTTTTGTGTTTTATCTTTTTATGTCCCCGCTGTAGCGGAGGGGGCATTAAGTTTTACCCTTATCCGTCTGTACGTTCCTACAGACATCCATCCGTCCGTACATCCCAAAGTTGGTTTCCGTTCTCTAACTTAAGTTAGCCTCTATCAAATGTTATGAAACTTATACACAATGCTTATTACCACAAAAGACAGATCAAGTTTGAATTTTGGGGGTGTCACTTTTATTGTTCTAGAGTTATGCCCCTTTACAAATGGAAAAATTGCTTAATTTTTCGTTTCCATTCTTTAACTTGAGTTTGCCTCAACCAAATGTTATGAAACTTATAAACAATACTTATTACCACAAAAATCAGATCAAGTACAAATTTGGGTAGCGTCACTTTTACCGTTCTTCAGTTATGTCCCTTTATAACTTTAAATGATATGAAAGCGGGGGCATCATCTGTGTCCCATGGACACATTCCCCATTTATGTAGTGTTGTTTGATAAATTAAATTTAGTTGATTTAAAATAAGTCAGGGGTCTTGCATCATCTGACATTGCATTTGTAGAATAGTAGAATTCATTTGGTCTAGATTTTAAATGAAATCAGCAAATTTTGAGGCAGGAATACAATTCATTTTTAAAAATTTTCATTTAACTGAAAAAATTAAATGAGATTTTATCTCAATATATCAATATTTTTAGAAACACAATTATATGTTAGGGATTCAAACAAAAATTAAACTTGCCTTTGTAGAGGGAGATAACTCTGATAATTTTAATTTTATTACAGAATGCACAGTAATTATTTCTTTTCTTTTGTAATTGAGCATGAAAAAGAGTTTTTTTTTTTAAATTTTAATTATCTCTAACCATATATTCTCATATTTTATTTCAAAATTTTGTCTTTCAGTTTTCTTTTTATTTTTGCGGTCGTATATTGGTATGACATTGGCGTCGTCCGAAGACACATTGGTTTTCGCACTCTAACTTTAGTTTAAGTGAATGGATCTCTATGAAATTTTACCATAAGGTTCAATACCACAAAAGGAAGGTTGGGATTGATTTTGGGGGTTATGGTACCAACAGTTAAGGAATTAGGGGCCAAAAATAAGCATTTTTGTAACTTCTAGACATAACTTGTGTGTTAGTGTATTGATCTCTCTGACATTGTACCAAAAGGTTCCATATCACAAAGGGAATGCTAGGATTGATTTTGGGGGTAATTGCCTCAAAATATTAGGAATTAGGGGCCAAAAAAGGGGCAAAAAATAAGCATTTTTCTAGTTTCATGACAATAACTTGTGTGTAAGTGTATGGATCTTTCTGAAATTGTACTACCAGGTTCCATATCACAAAGGGAAAGCTGGAATTGAGTTTGGGGGTAATTGCCCAAAACGTTGAGCAAAAAGGGGCCAAAAATAAGCATTTTTCTAGTTTCCAGACAATAACTTGTGTTCAAGTGTATGGATCTCTCTGAAATTGTACCACAAGGTTCCATATCACACAGGGAATGCTGGGATTGATTTTGGGGGTAATTGCCTCAAAATTTTAGGAATTAGGGGCCAAAAAAGGGGCAAAAAACAAGCATTTTTCTAGTTTCATGACAATAACTTGTGTGTTAGTGTTTGGATATTTCTGAAATTGTACTACAAGGTTCCATATCACAAAGGGAAAGCTGGAATTGAGTTTGGGGGTAATTGCCCGAAACGTTTAGGAATTGGGGGCCAAAAAGGAGCCAAAAAACACATTATCTAGTTTCCAGACAATAACTTGTGTTCAAGTGTATGGATCTCTCTGAAATTGTACTGCAAGGTACCATACCACAAAGGGAAGGCTGGGATTGAGTTTGGGGGTGATGAATCATAAGGGGGTTCAAAAAATTTGGGGGGGGGGGAGTTTTCCTTTTTTTTCTTTTTTTCCTTTTTTTTTCTTTTAAAATTTTCCATTTTAAGTTGGTTATTTATATTTAAAAGCAAATAATAATGATATGGTAGGAGATACACACCAAACAGGATGTGTAAATTATTATATAATAAGTATTGTGCAATAGCAAGAAATTTTCAATTGCACAGTATTGCACAATAGCAAGAAATCTTCAATTGCACAGTATTGCGCAATAGCAAGAAATCTTCAATTGCACAGTATTGCGCAATAGCAAGAAATATCCAATAGCACAATATTGTGCAATAGCAAGAAATTGTCAATTGTACAGTATTGCGCAATAGCAAGAAATATTTAATTGCACAGTATTGTGCAAAAGAAGATACTTCGTATAAATTGCTTATTTCTTGACCAATTTCAATGGGGTTTTATTCTTGAATTCTTGGGGTTCTTTAATATGCTGAATCTAACCGTGTATTAAGTTTTTTGGATTTTGGGCCCCGTTTTTAAATTGGTCCACATTGAGGTCCAAAGGGTCCAAAATTAAACTTTTGAAAAATTGAATTATTGGGGTTCTTTGATATGTTGAATCTAACCGTGTATTTAGATTCTTAATTTTTGGTTCCATTTTCAAATTGGTCTACATTTAGGTCCAAAGGGTCCAAAATTAAACTAAGTTTGATTTTAACAAAAATTGAATTCTTTGGGTTCTTTGATATGCTGAATCTAAACATGTATTTAGATTTTTGATTATGGGCCCAGTTTTCAAGTTGGTCCAAATTGGGGTCCAAAATTAAACTTTGTTTGATTTCAACAAAAATTGAATATATGGGGTTCTTTGATATGCTGAATCTAACTATGTATTTAGATTTTTGATTTTTGGGCCCCATTATCAACTTTGTCCACATTGAGGTCAAAAGGGTCCAAAATTAAACTTTGTTTGATTTCATCAAAAATTGAATTCTTGGGGTTCTTTGATATGCTGAATCTAACCATGTATTTAGATTTTGGATATTGGACCATAATAGGTGAATGTCCAATTTTAAATTTTTAAGTTCTTAGACCACATTCATTCTGTGTCAGAAACCTATGCTGTGTCAAATATTTAATCACAATCCAAATTCAGAGCTGTATCAAGCTTGAATGTTGTGTCCATACTTGCCCCAACTGTTCAGGGTTCGACCTCTGCGGTCGTATCAAGCTGCGCCCTGCGGAGCATTTTATATTCACATAATACTGCTTTCTGAAAATAGCTTGATTTTCCCACATTTTGGCAGAATATGAACAAACTCTGTCATGTTTGATTATACCTTTCTACTAGTTAAGTTTCCTGAAACAAATTCTAGCTGTACCTTCCTCTAAGCAGATTGACTTAATTTGTACCAAAAATCTGGTATCCAAAATCTGTAAGCTCTGTAATGACGGATAGAGCACCAGTAATTAACAAGAACTAGTTGTTTAAGGTAGCACTACAGTCTAACAATGATTTTTTGAAGATATTTTTTCTATCACATAATTTTGAAGTAAGTATTATTCTGCACAGTTTGTAAAAATCCCAAAGTCATTATCATATCACAACAGGGAGTAAATTGATAATGATCTTATGTAAATAAAAGCACATGTAATTAATCTAAATATATAGGCATTTGGGAGGGGCTAATATGTCAATCATTAGCCTGGCATCCCGGCCCGATCTAGCTGCGCGTCGCTAGTCAATCATCTGTTGATACCAGTGTCCAGCTGTTAATCCCTGACCACAAGATAAATATCTCATTGCATTGCAACAAAACTCATTTATAAAACATGGAAGTTTAGAACAGAGAAAAAGAAAAAGATATGAATAGGAAAAAATTAAAGGGAAAAAATCTACCAAAATGAAAAAAAACTATGGAAAATAGTGTGAAAGTATCTTTGAAAGCCTCTGACTGCCTGCATAAATTTCTCGTCTTTGGTCTTCTACATTTAAAAATAATTTTAGGCATTTTAACTAATTTTAAGTTTATGTGAAATTTTTTAATTCCATGAAACTCATAAATCATGTTGGACAGTCTATTTTCAAGAAGGGGATGGTCTTGATCTTTTTATGGACATGTCTTTTAATGCACAATTTTAATATTTTAGCTAATTTCAGTCATCATCGTCATATTATATTTCTTTTTAAAATTCAAATGAAAATTATTCTTTATAGTGAGAATAATGATGTTAAATATTAATTATGATGCAGCTGGCCAATCCTGTTATTCTCTTATCTTAGACTGTCTGGACAGAGGCGGAGCTTTGTCTTTATTTAATTACTACATCACAGATGTTGGTCAAATCTGTGACGTCAAACTCCCGCCAAATGCCAAGTTAGTGTTATACAGTGCACACAAAATGCAAATTTTACAGCATTAGAGCATCAAAGACACAATGTGTGTGGTTCTATTGATAAAGTAATGGTGTCAGAACACTCCTGGTGTGTTCCCAGTGGAATTTTTGTATTTATGTGGCATTTATAGGGGTTCTTAAGAGGAAATTCAGTTTTAAGGTCATTTCTCAGAACAATTTTTCATGAGAATTGTAAGGAAAAAATGAAAATAGAAACTTTATGGGTACCCCCTTTGGCTTGACTTTGATATATGAGATTGAAGGGAGTATTTTCTACAATACCGTGTCCCAGTTTTTGGATAATTTGTTTCTAAATGAATTTATAGGTCTCCAAAGATGAAAGGTGAAACGAGGTTTGGCATCCAGCAGTAAAAATAATATATCTTATTACTGGAGGCATATATCAAAAATCTGAGACACGGTTTTGTAGATTGTGAATGGTTGATTAAAGGGATGAAAACAAATTTTTACTACCATTTGACCTGAATGTGCCATTTTCATCCAAGTTGGAAGACCACTTTTTTGGCAATTAATGAGCTATATTTTGAGATTAATCATACCAAAAATAAATTTATCTATAGATTAAGAAAGAGTTATATTTCAGCTTTAAAATGAGTTAAAGATTTTAAATTTCCATTGAGTAGTTTTGGAAAAATTAATCTTTAAAGACTGTTGGTTGGAGTCAGAAAATTCTGACTGTAGTGCTACCTTAAATCAGATAATGGATATAATTTGTATGTTTTTTGTAGATTCTGTGATGACAATGAGCGGTTACTCAGATGTAATAGTTATAAGACATCCAAAGCCTGGAGCAATAGCTGTAAGTTATAGATTTCAATTTACACTAAATATATTATAGGTTTTGGTTTTTCTTACCTGTAACAAAATTCACTAGAGCAAGCTCTTACTTGTATTTCTGTGCTGGCAGTGTCAATGCTAGACAGATCTCTGTGTGAAAAGTTTACATAAAAAACAATGTTTGAAAATTTTTTTTTTACATAGACACTGACTGTTTATCTTGAAACTGCAATTTTTGGATTGAGATTGATATGAAAAAGACATTTCCTACTTATTGCAAAAACTACAATATCAATATTAAATCTTTATATGAAATTAGTTATGTTGAGACTTAGGTATTCCATTATATACCCTTGGTCTTATTCTAAATATCACATGTTTCTATAGTACACATCCTAAAACTTTCATGAAAATCATGGCAAAAATATGTTGAACAAAATTCAAACACATTATAAATGTCACCTTGTTTTCCTTCAGTTGGCAGCTTGGCATTCTTGTAGTCCTGTTAATATATTTTCTTGTGACACCCCAACTTCTAAGAGGAGGGGTGGTTGTGTATGCACACATGTCTTGTCATTTTGTCCTTGATCTTAAGTTTTATGTCTGGATGATAATTAAAGTACCTCTTGACCAAATCTTTTAGAAAGTTTTAAGTATTTTTGGAAAATGACTTGGACTATGAAATACTGCTTAAATTCAATATTAATTGTTTTGTCATTTACCGTTAAGAGTTACTGCCCATTTGTTTTTTGGTTTATATATGATAATGATAAAAGGCTTGAGCAAATCTTTTTAGATTTTAACACAATGTTATAAAAAATAACATATAGGTTCTTTTTTATTTGAATTTTTGTAAATGTTTTAAAAGTTTTTTTTTAATTTTTTTTGCAAGAGGAGTATTTGTAACTACTAGATCACTTATTCTAGTTTCTCTTCAGTACCAGCTTCAATGTAACCCTGCTATAAATGTATTCTTGTATTTCTTCAGTCTGCAGCCCAGCTTTCAAGGAAGCCTGTTATAAATGCAGGTGATGGAGTAGGAGAACATCCGACACAAGCCTTACTGGACGTCTTCACAATCAGAGAAGAAATTGGTACATGTAATGGATTAACCGTAAGTCTTTTTAATCTTAAGTGCCAATCTGGCTAAGAATCAGGCAGTGGTGAAAACATGACAAACAAAAACCCACACAGCTTTACATTTAAGTTCAAAATGTATAATGGTGCATGAGTATCAAATTCGTTTCCTTTCCCTGTTCTGGTAATTGAAGATATAATTTGGTTGAAATGCACTAGAAATTTACAATTAAGAGGAGATAACCATGCATTTGCTATCATTCTAACCAAAATTTATCTAGATATTTCTCGAATTACCAGACACGCAGAAACAAAAGACCTACCATTTCTAACTCAGGATGAGGGTACCTTTGAAATAGGGTATTTAGGTCGGTGTTTTTTTTTTTCTGCCATGTTTTGAATTTTTCTAAATTGCCAGATTCTAACAAAGACTGGCACTTAAGTGACTAGTATTGCCAGTTTTCCAGCTGAAGGTCCTTTTCTTTCAGGGTACTCTTGCTTGCTCCATTGATAAAAACTGACTGTCATGATAAATTCAACTGTGCTGACTGCTTAAAGTGGGGTTAAACACTAATAATCAACCAATTAATTTTAATTTTTATATTTTTTACATAAAATATTAATTCCATCTCTATATAAAGTCGAAACAGCTTCATATATATTTTAGAAAGAAAGCCACTTTAAGGCATTACACAGGTTATTTTAACTGATTCATGTTCAAGCCAGATTAGCTCATCGCAACTGTTTTTATACGCCCGTTTACGGGACGTATTATGGTATTTTTCATAGTAATTCTATGGTATTCATTAGCAAGGTCCTCAAACAAAATATCACTCAAAGAAAACCTGTGAAACACTAAAGACTCATACAAGTGGTTAAAAGGTCAGCTGGTCCTTGTCACATGATCATCATGGATGCTGTGTTATTTCAGGTAACAATGGTTGGAGACCTTAAGAATGGTAGAACTGTACATTCCTTGGCCAAGCTACTGACACAATACAGAGTCAAGTTCAGATATGTGTCACCAGATATGCTTAAGATGCCAGATAGTGTCAAAGATATTGTTGCAGAAAAGGGAATCCCACAGGTTAGTACAGTTGAATAAAGCAGCTTGTGTCTCTTGTGGCATGAATCCCATGGCTAAAGTAAAACCATGTAGTATGCATTAGTTGATTCCATCAGCTAAGAGGAGATTAATTGGAACTGAAAGCCAACCAACATATTTTATAATTAAGATGTCATTAAATGAAATTGGATACCCTGCATTTATCATGCTTTTCTATAACATATGGTCAAATTGCTGAAAGATCCCCCTCCTAAATTATGGAAAACTGACATTCTGCAGTGACAATTATATCTTGTTGTAAATTAGATACACCAAATTGGGCTAACATCCTCATAGGTGTATCTAATACATATATTGACTAAATCATATGGCAAGTCCAATGGGTCAGCAACTGATTGCTTCAGTGACCAACAATGAATGTTTGTAAAGCCCACAGCAAAGTGAGAAGAACATTATTGGACCTAACATTCAGACCCATATATTGGTAATAGACATTTATTAAGTGCAATGAAATTTAATTACAAATTAATTAATCTTGCAGCCATTCTTTTGCCTTAAAGGACGTACCGTATGGTCCAAGGACAGTTATCGTCCTTTGGTTTTCGTTGTCTACAAATATAGTCCCTAGTGTGAACAGTGTATAACTTGCATTTTTTTTTGATACACTTTCCCAATTTATTTCTTGATATTTTATGCATGAACTATTAAGTAAGGGGATGAAATTACATGTTAAAAAAATTTGGGTGCTGAATCTTTATGTTAAGTAGTGATTTGGTCCAGTTAAAAAAGGTCAAAAATTAGAATGTCTGAAGCTGTCAAACTGAATTTTAGCCCCCTTAACACAGAATTGTCAATATTTTGAGTTAGAGCTGGTAGAAGTTTCTATAATTTTGATATTATTTGTATCAATAGTAGTACACTACACTGTAAAAATCTTTTTGAGATAGAGCAGGTGCGATTTTTTTAATTTGAATTTATTGTCTAAAAGAAATGCACTACGAAATAACTGTGTTCTCGGGCCTAAGAGATGAATTCCGTAAATGTAGATTCTGTACTTTGGCAACTTTCCTGAATGGTTTGCTGGTTTCAATTTGTCAAACGCAATAAAAGTAAAGGATTTACATCTTTGTTTGACAGAAATTCTGTTAAAATGTCCCATTTTGGCATTATACGGCTAAAATAGGCATTTTAAAGCAGTTTCCATTTTATGCCTAAGAGCCATGCTGACTTTCTATCTGACAGCTTTTTATGTTCCTGATATTTGCGTTTCTATGCTTAAATCAAATTTAATTAACCATTTGTGAACTCGGAATCTAGAGAAAAGTAGATTATCACAGAAAAAATGTGCAGAATATTTGTATTTATGTCCCTGGTTAAACGGCCTGTTTGATGTATGTGAAATGTGAAGAGCTTTGTACATAAAATCTGTAGTCCATCACAAATATTTCACTAAATCTGTAAAAAAAACCACTTTACAATGATCAGTACACCCTATTCATTTCATATGCTATCATAATTTTCTTCTTTAGGATAGTAAGTGGTTCAAATATATGCCAAATGAGACTAAAACTACATGCAAGTTTTCCATTGAAAAGTGAAAAACTGGTCATCAGACCATACTGTCTGCAAAAAAAAGTTGAATTCAAGAGTCCTTTTGCAATTAGACTTCTTGTATCATGACATCTTAGCATAGAAATGAGCCAAAAGTAACAAATTTCAATTTCTTATAGCCTCTGTGTGCATTTTTATATGTAAATATGGGCTACGACCTAAATCGACTCTAAATAATTCTCAGTCTTACATGGCCTAAGACCATTTTATACTCATGTGGTATGCTTTTTGTAACTTTTCTTTACATTTAAGGTACATTTAATATATATGGAAGAATAATGTATGGTTAAAAAACTTCAAAAACTTCAAATTGGTTGAAAAAAATGCATGTTTATGTAAGGCTTCCCTTAATTCAAAAATCTCTATTTTCAGGCACAGGCTCATATAAATTTGACTTTTGAATAACTGTAATAAATCTGATAAATCAAATGAGTGTTCCGTTGCTTTTAATACTTATTATATTAAATTCAAGAGTATTTTAAAAGCAAATTTTTGCAATATTTAAATTTTTTAGGCCAAAATCTTGACAGTTGAAAATATTTGATTTAAACGTCCAAAATAAACCACCAAATTTCAATATTAAAATGGTCCTAGTTTCTATAATATATATCCTATGGCCATGAAACTTGGCCAACTATCTTATAATTGCCTAAACTTAGGTTATGCAAAGTTTTATTAAAATTGGTCAAGTCATTCTATCCTATTAGGTCCAAGGACACAGTTATCGTCCTTTGGTTTTCGTTGTCTACAAATATAGTCCCTAGTGTGAACAGTGTATAACTTGCATTTTTTTTTGATACACTTTCCCAATTTATTTCTTGATATTTTATGCATGAACTATTAAGTAAGGGGATGAAATTACATGTTAAAAAAATTTGGGTGCTGAATCTTTATGTTAAGTAGTGATTTGGTCCAGTTAAAAAAGGTCAAAAATTAGAATGTCTGAAGCTGTCAAACTGAATTTTAGCCCCCTTAACACAGAATTGTCAATATTTTGAGTTAGAGCTGGTAGAAGTTTCTATAATTTTGATATTATTTGTATCAATAGTAGTACACTACACTGTAAAAATCTTTTTGAGATAGAGCAGGTGCGATTTTTTTAATTTGAATTTATTGTCTAAAAGAAATGCACTACGAAATAACTGTGTTCTCGGGCCGTATAACGGGTTATTTTCGCGGGTGTAAAATTTCATGATTTTGATTGAATAAGGTATACAGAATATTTTGGCATTTATTATTTTGGCAGATTCGAAACTTTTATACAAGACCATTGTTTGTGCACTTTTAAATTGGAGGAATTTATTTTGGTGAATTTTGTTCTATCTGCGAAAATTTACACACCGCGAAAATAACCCGCTATACGGTAATGGGTTAAGTAGTATCAAATCATGACTCAAATAATGTATAGGAATTTTCTTTATTTATTTTTATCATCTAATAATCCTACTGAGTGTTTTTTATTCCACTACCAGTTCAAACAGAGTATATGTAGGGATCAACAGGATTCTTTTGCCTGTCCAACATGTTAGTAATATCAAATTTTAAACAGAGACACACATGCACTGTTGGCAAGGGAATAGGGTAATGTTGCAGTATAGTATTTTTTCCCTACGCTTATATTCCATGTTGTGCTGCATTTTCCATTGTATAATATCTCTTAAGTTAACAAAAAATGGGGGAGTGAAAAGCAGGACATTATCCCCCTATGTATGTTCTATTGTACAAGTAATTTTCTATTGATAATAGGAAGAGTTTAGTTGTTTAGAAGATGCCTTACCAGAGACAGATGTACTGTACATGACAAGGATACAGAAAGAACGATTTTCATCTGTAGAAGAATTTGAAAAGGTATATACATATGTAATAATCCTTCCAACAGATGAATTTTAAAGCATGCCTAATAAGTGATATGCAAGGATAATGTTTTGTATATGATTGAGATGAAATTGCCTACAAACAATTTTTTGGAAAATGTTGCATTAATCTCCTGGAAGTTTTTACTAGGCATGCTCTCAAGGTAAAAACCTCAATCCATCTTGCTACATGTATATCGAGGGGAAAAAGATGACTAGCAGAGCAAAGTATAGATAAGACCTTTAAATCTATTTGAACTATTTAAAAAGGTTAATTAAAGATAATTTGTTTAGAAACAGCATAATATGAATTTCCTGTTTTCCTGAAAAAAAACTTCATTGGAATCTGAGGATAACATGTTTATTTTCCAAAAGAATAGCATACTTGCTGAACTTTATTTCATACATGTGAACCTCCCGAAGGGAGTACAATAATCCCGTTTTCAGGGGTCTCCTCCCGACCTCCCGTTGAAGAGAAAAAAATCCTGTGTATAAAATTTTTCATAAATGAAAAATTTCTGCCAAATGTATCATCTCAGACATCTGGTGTAACTGACATTACATGTACCTGAAGTTTTATTTTACCTGTAAATCAATTAACATGCATAATTTTATGGCTTCACTTGTCAGCTTGGGTGTCAAACATACTGATAATCAGCGATTTTTACCTCAGGCCAGGAACATATATATTGACGGGACTTGACACTACCTGATTGTAGTCGATTTTATCGTCGTGCCATAGTTAATAAAGATACGATACAGAAACGGACATGTGTTAAAAACGGACTCGCTATTATCCTAATAATTTCTGATATTATCAATTAAATGTCATTCAAACTAGTTTTATAGTGATGCTTGTGTATCAAACTTGTATTCTGTCACTTCAATTTGTTAAAATCGCAAGCATTTCATCACAGAATTGTGCAGAATGCAAACCAGGTAATAAAAAAAATGGCGGCCATTGCCGCGATGATTTACAAATTGCAAAACTATTATAAAACACTTCACATCAAATAAATCAAACTTATTTTGGTAATTTTATATGACAAAATATATCTACTAAATGATAAAACTTGTATTTATTTACAATTAGAGTTATGTGGTTTATTTGTTGAGCAGTTCTGATAGTTTTTCAGTCAGACGCTACCATAATCCGTAAATCTTGGGAAGTCTCGGGGAGTCCGAGATTTTATCAATTTTATACTGAAAAGCGTATCAGATTCATTTCCCGTTAGATATACTGTTCCCAGCTCAAGCTAACTGCCGTTGTGTAATAAAAACTTTGTGTATTTATTGGGTTACTTCCCTTGATTTATCCTGTTTTAAGTTACTTTCCTTTAAATAATGAAATTTTTTAAAAGAATATAAATAAAATATAAATTGAACAAATTATTTGTTCAATATAAATAAAATATAAATTGAACAAATAATCATAAAAGGATGGTAATAAAATGATTTTAAATGTCTTAGGACAAATAAAAAAATAATAATTTGAAAATTATTTGAGGGTTCTATACTTCCTTTCAAGGCTTAAATTGAAATTTATATTATAACTATGACCCTTGTGTGAGGTTTTTTCCGACCGTGCAAGGACTGTATAGCCAGTCAAGGTCGTTAAAAACTTCCATTTGTGTGAGGTTTATATGAGTTTCTCAATATTCAAATATAAATTAATTGCAATTGCAGATAGTTAAACAAATGTTCTGATTGCAATGATTGTTCTATAGAATAATGATATATAAAAGATATGAAGTAAAAAATTTAAAGAACGTACTAAAAAAAAAGAATGTTAAATTGAACATGTAGAATATAAAGATGGAGAAACTTTATAAGTACAAGGGTACTATAAACATAATACATTGGATGGAAAGTTGAAGAAAACACACTTTAAAAGACAATTTTTACAGCACACGTTTACATTTACGACAAAATTTATGTCAATTAAAAACCTCCTGATCCGAGTCCTAATCTCGTGACCAAAATTTCCCAATCTCCTGATCTGAGTTTCACAGTCCATCACATGTATGTTATTTATATATTTTTACGAAGACAAATTAGTGACAAAACTGCATTGTCATTTTAGGTATTTGGACAATTTATTGTCACACCAGAATTGATGACAAAAGCTAAGAAGAAAATGGTTGTTATGCATCCACTACCAAGAAATAATGAAATTAGGTAATATCTTAATTTTAAAAAGTTTTCTGGACCTGCATTGATATGGAACCAATTTATCATTTATTGAAGGAAAGACTGTAATATTTTTTCTGTCTATGAAGAAATAACATAAAAAAAATGTGGTGCACACTGAATAACCCGCGAAGCAGTTTATTTAAAAATGTGCAGCACATTTTTGAAGTCATTTCAAATAGACAGAAAGGATATTACAGTCATTCCTTATAATTTTATTCTAATCAGAAGACGTGTTACCTCAAAAATTAAATTATTAGATACTAATCTCAAGCAAAATGGAGACTACCTGATCCTTTTTTTTTGAATTTCAAGTTGAGAGCATTGTAAAAATGTAGCATTAATCTCATATATTCAAAATAGACAAACTTTTGTTTACAATTCTGCCTCATTATACATCAAAACCTTCCAAGATATCTTTATCTGGAAATTGTGGTACAGTAGTTACAAATGAATGTCTTTACCAAAGGATAGCAATTAAAAAATTCAATATGCTAGTCCTTTATATAAACTGAGATGGGGAACACTAAAACACTATTTATGTTTCACTTTTAGCACTGCTTTTGATACTGATCCAAGGGCTGCTTACTTCAGACAGACAGAGAATGGAATGTTTGTTAGGATGGCATTATTAGCATTAGTTCTTGGCAAATGTTGATAAATGACCCACTTTGAAGCTAATGGTTACATACATGTACATTATATTGTGTCAGGCTCTGATTATCAGAAATATAACTTAATCCTTTATAGTAAACAAGCTGTAAAAAGATTTATGTGAATGAGCTTTTTGCCTGAGGGTTCTCACATATAGAAAGGTTGTTTGTGTAAAATTTTTTCATAGATGACATATAATGTAAATTAGGTGGTCTGTAATATTTAAACTACTTTAAAACTAATATATACTGAGTGCCAATAAAAATGCAACTTATCATATTCCAAGCCTCCTTCTGTCCCTTTTTGAATGGCAATACACAAATAGTCATTTGAAAGCATTCTTTGAACATTTGGCTAAATTTTACTAAAAAAAAATTTCTAACAATGATTTTTTTTTAACTCCAAAACTTGCAATAACTTGCAAATAAATCAAAAGCAAAACTAACACGATTTAATCCAAATGTAATCAAATTGAACTGAATGTAGAAAGAAAAAATGTTGATGAACTGTGTCACTTTTTGATCATTATGGTTGCAATTTGAAACTCAAAAGTCTTTAAGCTTTGAATATGCATGTCCTTAGAAGTCTGCAGAAACCTTACAGAAATAGGTTAAACTTCATAAGATTTGTTTTCATATTTTGATTTTTACAACATAAAATTACATGAAGTGTTGTGTTTCTATTGGCACTCAGTATATATAAACATAAACCTTGTGTGTGGTCTGTTAAAAAGGAGGTCATTATATTAAAGCATATATAATGCTTGTTGAAAAATAAGACATTATATTTTAAAAAGGTTAATGATTTATAGAATACTATTTATGACAACAAGATACTTAAAAGCTATGATGTGGAACTATCTAACATTATTTGTTTACATTATTTGTCCCTTAACCTCAAGGTTAACCTCAAGGTTAACCTCAAGTTACAGGGCAATGACACAATTTACTGCTAGCACAGATACTAACAAGTTCATTCATATCAATCATCAAATGTTTACTAAAATGTGACATCTTTATGGATGATTCTCAGATTGAAAAATATCAGTTTCAAATTAAACAAGTAAAAGCTAGTAAAACTTATGAATAATTTGTTATACTGTAAATTAGTAATACTTGCAATTTATGAAGAATAGACAATAATGCAATATTAATTTTTGCAATCTCAGGAAAATCTGCATACAGATTTCTGTATCAGATATCAGAATTCGAGTTCTTATTATTGTGATAATCACCAAGCTGCATTATTTGTATTATCAAAAACCTAAAATAATTTCTTTATTTACAGTATACAGATTTATATCTATTTTTGAAAGTGCTACAGTAGTTATTTGATAAATCCATAATTTCAAACAGGTATTCAGGGTTTCATCTGTAGATCCATAATTATGAAAAGTGTTCAGAATTATTATTTTTTCTTTTTTTACATTGCACATATATTTTTGGTCTGCTACCCTAACTTCATATTCAAAGATGACTACAAAACTTATCTGTAATACTTCATTTGAATGTTGGGTGCTGCCCTGTTTAAGTCCATTTTAAATTTCAAATTTGCATTCTAGTCAATTATAAGACTTGTACTGCCATTTACATTGGGCATTTATTGAATATCTAAAATTGGTTTGTTGTGGTTATTTATTCTTTTTCTGTTAACCTAGAAAGCATTTAGTCATTAGTCTGTCATTTATTTAGTTTGGTAAGAAATTTTCCATTAAAATGAATGTGAGATATTTAAGGAAGGTACTATCAAAATACCCCACAACTAACATACTCTCATTAAGTAATTTTGCGTACATCCTACCCTTCCAGAGTAATTTGAATAGACTAGTCCTAAAATTCAAATGGTAGTAAAGGTATATATCATTTCTAGTTCCAGACTTGCATTTAATAGATCAGAGAAGTTGATATACATGCATTTTGAATTTTATTTTTCATAAAAAGAATTAAACAGACTTATTTTCCCAAATACAATTATTTTATGTCAAGTTCCATGTTAGGGTAACTTGCATTCAGAAACTTCTGTAGATATAAAATAATGATTTACTGTTTTGAGTTTCTGCCCACATTGTATATGCCTTTGTTGATATTGTTTACAACTTTTTTTGTATTACCTTTATATTTTTTGTAGTGTTTATTTTTGGTGCATAATTATATTTTATTTTTTTTGAAAACATGTTTAATTGTTTTCTGATTACAGTTGTCAAGAGTGTGTTCATTACAGGTAGAGTGGGTGACGCATATTCGCCGCAAAATTCGTTCATTTCCACCTACATCCGACCTACATTCGAATATTTGAAACTTATTATGTAGGTTTCAGAAAGTTTACTATATGAAAAAAATGTTTGATAAAAGAATTCTCTTCAAAACATTGGTTAAATGTTTTAAAAATGAACGCAAACTCAAGAGGAAATCAAGTTGTTCTTGTACAATGGGGGACACATTTTTGCCGCAATGTATGATATGACCATCCTCATTATCGATGTATATTATAAAAACAATTGTTTGCAATTACATGAATTAGCTTGAGAGATCATTCCTATACGATTTTTCTAACAGATATTTACTTTATGACTGCGCATGCGTGCCATATAAATCTTACATAATTGCCAAAGTCGTTCAAAAACACCTGCGTATTTCTTTATATGTGCGAATAACATTGGAAATGGGGTAAAGAGGAATATCAACAGTTCGAACATTACAAACAGCGTTTAGCATCTTTTTAGGCAAGTATTGGGTAAAGGCACACGAAATTTACAGAAAAATAGCAAAAACGGCGAAAATGTGTCCACGGCGAATATGCGCCACCCACTCTACACATTTAAATGTATTCATTAGTGCTAAATGTTCAGTCATGAAGTCTATTTAAAATTTATATATATATAATAAGCTAGTTTATGATTTCAGAAGTTGGTAAAGCAGTTGTAACATGAAAAAAATCCCTTATTAAGAAATAAAATTCTTCCAGATGACAATTTTGTTATGAATTAGATGGATCAAATTAAATTTGAGGTATGGTATATATTTCCTTATATGAGTTCAATATAATCTTTTATCCAGATAATTTATCACTATGCTTGTGGTGCTGTTATCTAATGATTTAAATTTCTTCTGCCTTTCCATAATATTTGGAATTAACGTAAGAAAAACTGAAAACAGATATTGTATAGAAAAGAAAAAGTGTAGAAATTTTTTTAGTGTATAATTATGTTGCATTTATGTTATCTTATACTTCTTTTTAATTTTGAACAAATATTTAGAGTTTTAACTCAACATAATAAATGGACAGTGGTCAGATCAAAATATAAAATTCAGGTGATCCTTGTACAAACCACATAGCAGGACCTGTGGATGGAGGAATCAAAACTGTACAATTTCTGATAGGCAGTAAGTTGTCAAAAGGAAGTTGTTGGCACTTCTAATAACTTCATCATTATAATTGTTCAATACATCTCCTGTATTTGGAAGGGTTTATTGCTCCCCTTGCAACGCGTTGCAGGGGACATTAGAAATAACGTCTGGTCTTGTTAGTGCTCTCACATGTACATTTCTTGCCAGATTTTTATAAAACTAATATCATAGGTTTATATCAGCAATGTCTTGGACGAGTTTTAAAATCAGTGCTGATGAACTATTTTAAAAGAGTTATGCTAATGGAAACATTAATTATATGGAAAATTGCATCGTTAGCGCTCTCATGTGTACAATTCTTTCCAGATTTTTATGAAATTTATATTGTAGGTTTATATTAGCAATGTCTCGGACAAGTTCAAAAATCAGTGCTGATCAATAATTTTTAAAAGAGTTATGGCCCTTAGAAATATTAATAATATGGAAAATTACATTCTTACCGCTGTCATGTGTACAATTCTTGCCAGATTTTTTTTATCAAATTCATATCAAAGGTTAATATCAGCAATGTCATGGAAAATTTTCGAAAATAATTGCAGATCAAAAATTTTAAAGAGTTATGCCCCTTGGAAATATTGAATATATCGGAAATTGCTCTCAAGTCTTCAAAACTCTCAAGAAAATTTTAAAAGTTTTAAAAATAAATATTTTTTTGTAGTTATTGACCTTCCACAGATAAGATATGTGCAACGCTGGGGACATTGGAACTCTGTTCTTTTTTATTTCATATAGAATTTTTTTCTATTATAGTAATAAAATAATAGATACATGAATGTGTTATGTATATCTAATTATTGTTTACAGCTTTTGTTAAAACAAGCAAAATATATTTCTTTATGACATCATTGTCAGTTTGTTCATTTATAATTGTGCATAATATATAGGTATATTTACAACTAACACAGGTTAATTGGTGCATACTACATGATCTCTCTATATATATGTTAATAAATATATTATTGGTTATAGTTGGTACTGTTTTTACTGGATCCCAAAAAATAACAGCCTTCAATTTTTGTCTATCCTTTTTATTGCAGTCAGCAAGACATAGGGATTACTATTCGTCGGCAGCGGTGTAAACAATTTGTGTAAAGTTTTATATTTCAAAAGGTAGAAGACCTGGATGCTTCATACCTTGTATGCAGATACTATAAGTTTCGGTCTGTCATATTGTCCTTGACCTCATTTTCATGGTTCAGTGACTGCTTGAAAAAAAAAAAAAGTTTTTTTTGTCATGTGAATTTCTCATTTATTTTGAGTTATAGGATAACTATATTTAGTATATGGGTTCCTTGCAACGTCTACATGTCGGTCAGATGGAGTTCACCTGACCCTGACCTCATTATATAGATCATTGATTAGGTCCGTTTCTTAGATACTATAAGCAGTAGATTAACTATATGTGGTGTATGGAATAATTGTAATGTAAACATGCCTGTCTGGCAGAATTTATCTGACCTTGACCTCATTGTCATGGATCTTTAAAAAATGTTAAAGTTTATATGATACTTGCTGTAAAACCTTTATCCTTAAGACTTTCAACATAAAATCAATGGTCCGTAAAACAGGCAAGACATTTCAGCATGTGCACTCTTGTTTATTTGTATTCAACCATTTTCAATAGTACACCTGTCGTTTTGCATTGAACCAAGCATTGTATCACCAGATGTTAAGTCGGCTTTTGAATAAACAGATAGGTTGGGTGAATGTGACAGCACCCCATCAACATAAAAACAGAAGACATCTAAAGGTCAATACATTTTTCACGTATAGACCGATGTCCATACAATATCTTAACATATTTTTATACCCCCGCTTTACAAAAAGGGGTATACTGTTTTACCTGTGTCTGTCCATCCGTCTGTCAGTCTATCCATCCATCCGTCAGTCCCTTCGTCCCATGAATATTTTTCGTCGCATCTTTCTCGGGAACTACACTACAAGGATTTCTGAAATTTGATTTCAGGGTTTATAGAAGTCAGCTATACCGTGTGATGCATTTTCAGATTCATCACTCAACAACTTCCTGTTCAACCATTAAGTATTTGGGCTGGGGGTATCATCAGTGAACATTATTAGCACGCAGTTTCACTTGTTCATTACTGAAATGCTGATTTGTAGCTATAGACCCTTTACAAAAGTTATATATCTGAAGTGATTGCATCAAATACATATTGCTATGTTCTTATTGATCTGAACCTAACTGGAAACCTATTTTTGTCAACGATGAGTCATCGAGTAAAGGAAAATTGTATAGTTCTCTGTCAAATGGAACATATCCATGGCAATCTGTTACAGAATTAAGGAAAACCAATTCATTGTGTGTATATATGTCTCTGACCTAGCTGTATTCATGGTATTTCGTTTTTATTTCACCTGCAATCAACATAGTCGGCAAACATTTGACTAATTGGACATAAGTGAAAATACATCATCTAAATAGCAGAACTGACGTCTAAGGATAATGTTAACTTTAGACTCTATTCATCCCTACCTTGTGTCATATATAACAAGAAAAGGTCGTTATAATTATATGATGCTGGTCATGCACAAGGTAGGTAAAACGATGTGATGTGGCAAACTATAAAAAAGCATCTCATCTGAGACTACTATAACATGTGTTATAGTAGTCTCAGATCTCATAAACATGGGATGAATAGAGTCTAAAGTTATTAATTGTTCACTTCCTTAATTAAAATGGCTATCATTTGTTCAGTTTTCTAAATATCCGAATTCATCAACATAAAAGATAATCAGCTCATTTGGAACACCCTTTCTTTCTTTATTTTTCTTTATTATTTCCTATCATACCTATATACTTGCTTTATATATTTTTGATTTTATCTTACTTTTCAGCTCACCTGGCCCAAAGGGCCAAGTGAGCTTTTCTCACCACTTGGCGTCCGTCGTACGTCGCCGTCCGTCGTCCATTTACTTTTACAAAAATCTTCTCCTCTCTGGAACTACTTGGCCAAATTTAACCAAACTTGGCCACAATCATCATTGGGGTATCTAGTTTAAAAAATGTTTCCGGCAACCTGGCCAATCAACCAAGATGGCCACCATGGCTAAAAATAGAACATAGGGGTAAAATGTAGATTTTGGCTTATATCTCTGTAACCAAAGCATTTAGAGCAAATCTGACATGGGGGTAAAATTGTTCATCAGGTCAAGATCTATCTGCCCTGAAATTTTCAGATGAATCGGACAACCCGTTGTTGGGTTGCTGCCCCTGAATTGGTAATTTTAAGGAAATTTTGCCGTTTTTGGTTATTATCTTGAATATTATTATAGATAGAGATAAACTGAAAACAGCAATAATGTTCAGCAAAGTAATATCTACAAATAAGTCAACTTGACCAAAATGGTCAGTTGACCCCTTAAGGAGTTATTGCCCTTTATAGTCAATTTTTAACCCTTTTTCGTAAATTTTTGTAATCTTCTCCTCTGAAACTTCTAAGACAAATTTAACCAAACTTGTCCACAATCATCATTAGGGTATCTAGTTTAAAAAATGTGTCCGATGACCCCGCCCGCTAACCAAGATGGCCGACATGGCTAAAAATTATTTCATAGGGTAAAATGCAGTTTTTGGCTCATATCTCTGAAACCAAAGCATTTAGAGCAAATCTGACGAGGATAAAATTGTTCATTAGGTCAAGATCTATCGGCCCTGAAATTTTCAGACCAATCAGGCAACACGCTGTTGGGTTGCTGCCCCTGAATTGGTAATTTTAAGAAAATTTTGCAGCTTTTGGTTATTATCTTGAATATTATTATAGATAGAGATAAACTGTAAACAACAATAATGTTCAGCAAAGTAAGATCTACAAATAAGTCAACATGACCAAAATTGTCAATTGACCCCTTAAGGAGTTACATCCCTTTATAGTCAATTTTTTACAATTTTCATAAATTTTGTAAAATTTTGTAAATTTTTACAAAATATTTTCCACTGTAACTACTGGGCCAAGTTCATTATAGATAGAGATAATTGTAAGCAGCAAGAATGTTCAGTAAAGTAAGAACTACAAACACATCACCATCACCAAAACACAATTTTGTCATGAATTCATCTGTGTCCTTTGTTTAATATGCACATAGACCAAGGTGAGCGACACAGGCTTTTTAGAGCCTCTAGTTTTCTTGTGCCCACCTGAAGCATTGAGTATTGGTCAAGATTGACAGTTCAACGTTCGATGTAGATGTACAGTACTTGATCGCGTTTTAATATGACATTAGAACTAAAAATACTCAATAAAAACATCTATATATATATATATATAAAGACAGTATATGCAATTTCCAAGACTAGAATTGAAGCAGTTATGTTTGTGGAATGAAATTTTAAGAGATGCCCCTTAAGCTTGATGAACATCCTAGAATACATATCATTTCATATTTGACAATATGAACAAGAAAATGCTGCATTCATTACTTTCTTGTACTAAATGTAAAACATGCATAGGTCAATTGAAGATTTTTTATTAGGAGAAAATAAATTGAATTACGCATGATGATACTGTAGTCCTGACGCACACTTTAGGTATACTACGTAAGGTGATCGTATCCGTTGAGTAAAACAGAAATGATGCAGTTCGGTTGTACTGTTTGCTCATATCAATAACCAATGAAGAAGGCGAGGGAGCGTATATAATGACGACTGTCTTTCGCCTTCATTTTGTTTTCTTTTGTATTGTTTTCTTGTATTTGTTGTTATTTTGGTTATGTTTTGTTATTCTAGTTAGTGTTTTTCTTTTTTCAAAATATGATCAAAAGAAACGGGGAACACTCAACATTTAACATGTGTTCAATACTCTTTTAAATAATTTTAAAAATACTATATTCATAATAGAAAAAAAACAACGATGGAGTTGCATGAACTCCAAATGGTACAAAATCTGTTGCACGGACAGTATTACCGTCAACCTATGCACGCATCACGCCCTATACATGCACTTCCCCTACACATGCATCATGCCATCATAAACCAAGAACATCATAAAAAAATAGGAATATTGGCACTTTTTATTGTTATTGACATAAATATTAGTAACCGTAGACTTAAAGACTCTCAATTTGTGTAAAACTACTCATTCTTCGGGACCAAAAAGAACAGAATCTTAATGTCGTTGTATAATATTCATTAAAATGGAAAATATCGGCACCTTTTGTCGTAGCAACAACAAATTTTGAAATTTTTAACTTATATTTCTTGACTTTTATGTCTAACAATCCATGCTGAGGTATGAAAGGTACTCAATTATCAGGCCAGTAAAAAGAATATTAATAAACAAAAAGAAATATTGTCACTTTTTATTGTTATCGACATAAATATTAGTGACTCCAGAATTATAGAGCTCTCAATTTTAAACTATACATCCTTAGGGACAAAAAGAACAGAATTTTAATGCCGTTGTAAAATATTGTAGCAAAATGGAAAATATTGGCACCTTTTATTTTGATGCGACAACAAATTTTTCAATTTTCAACTTTAATATACTAGTCAACAAAAGTAACGATACACAAGTTTGAACTCCAATTTATCATAAAATATAATAAATAAGAAAAACTGTTAAATTATCCAATAAAAAAACATTCATTTGCAAAAAGCAAATGCATATGATTAAAAGAATCTGACCAAATTGGAAAGTGAGAAAATACCGTGTTATTGAACACAGGGGTCAAATTTATTTTGCGGAAAATGATGACAAAAGTCGGCACTTAATTTCGAAGATGAGAATTAAGTATTCAAATATCTGCAAAGGCATACTAAATTTTAATCAGACCATGTTTAAGGTTAAAGTTTTAATTTCTAATATCGATTTTTGAATTTTTGGGTGAAATACGGTTTTTGAAATAACAAAAATTGCCAAAAAAAAAATTCGCGTATTTGCCTTAAATCAATGGTTTTGATAAGAAAATAACACTCTGTAAATATTAGACCAATTGGGCAATTATTTACC